ATCTCAATAACATTTAGCTACCCCCTCCTAGCTTTATTTTATCCTCATCTCTATGCTATTTTTACACTTTTAAGAGTCTGTTCCACTCATTTATAACTTTCCCTGGCTCCTCCTGCTAAATCTTAAACTCCTTAAGAGCAGAAACCATATCTGATGTATTTCTCTCCTCAAGTATACATTGTAAATTCACAATAAATCTTCACTAAAAATACCTAAGTAAACATGTTTGAGGCCCTGTCAGTTCTAGGAATATAATAAGGATCAGCATCACCCTGGCATAAACTGTCTTTAACATTACGTGCACCAGTGAGCTCTTTGCTTCTTGCTTTGATCCTGAACTTGAAAATATAGATCAGAAGCTTGGTTGGCTGACCAGTCAAGCTGAAGTCTTGAGATGTATGCTGGGTATCCAGGTTGGATTTCTGGGTACAGATACTGTGACAACGTTTGGGTACAAGGTGTTTACTAGCAATCAACACCTGCAAAGGGAAGAGAGAGAAAGCAACATTGAGCCAGGGAAGCAGCTGAATTTTGATGGGGGCCCAGTAAGCCATGGCAAATGGAGAAGATTGCATTGAAGAGAATATAGCCTGTCTCAGTTTTTCATTTTAGGTCAAAATGACCAAGCCTGTATCTATACTCCTGCCTCTCAGTCACTGCATGTGAATTCCACAAAAAGGACATACTCTCAGGCCAGCCCCTTCCAGCAGTTTAGGTAGGCTCTGAACAGGGCTGACAGCTGGAGGCTCTTCCTTAGACTAGGGAGCAAGACCTTCCCTGAACAGAGCTCTGGGTGGCCCAATGGGGAGTGTGCTAACTTCTTGTTATGGTTTGAGTGAGTTGTCCCCCAAAAGTTCATATGTGAGACAATGTAAGAAAATTTGGAAGATAAATGGTTGGGGCGGGTATAGCCTTAATCTAATCAGTGAATTAATACCTCGTGGGATTCACTGAGTGGTAACTGGAGGCAGGTGGAGTGTGGCTGGAGGAAGCAGCCCATTGGGGGCGTGGCTATGGGGTATATATTTTGTACCTGGAGAGTGGAGACTCTCTCTCTGCTTCCTGATCATCAAGTGAGCTGCTTCCCTCTGCCACACTCTTCCCCTGTAAGGTTCTGCCTTACCCTGAGACCTGAGGAATGGAGTCTGCTGTGCATGGATTGAGACCTCTGAAACCGTGAGCCCCCCCAACAAACTTTTCCTCCTCTACAATTGTGCTGGTCAGGTCTTTTAGTCACAGCAGTGAAAAAGCTGACTAAATCACTTGGGTTTTGGATTTCACAATACGAGAGGCAGCTCTCTTTGCCATGAAACCAGGAGACAAGGGCTTCCAAGGTTGACTCTACTGACTTACTATGAAAAGTTTAAGTCATTTCCTCTATGGGTCTCTTACAGCTGGTCAGTGGGACCAGATGATTGCAATAGCTCTCTGGCTTTTTTGTGCTTCAATGGAAACCCTGATGTGGGGGTGGGGCAGAGTAAAGCTGTGACCTCACCATATTTCTGTGCATTTAATCATCCCCTTGGCAGATTCGGGAGCTCTATAAGCAGCGACTGGATGAGGTCAAAATGTTGGAGAGACATATCATTCAGGCCCAAGCACGGGCCCTGGCTGAAACAGAGCGGGCCATGAACCAGGCCAAAGTGCATGTCCTCGAGGCCGTCCAGTTGCCCCCAGGTGTGTATTGAGTTCTCTTATGCCTGCCCTTGTTTCCCCAGATAAGATGTGTGACTATATTTGCGCCATTGCCCACGCTCGTTTTCTGAACGTTTGGAGAGCCAGCTGCAGTTTTTGTGTTTCATTACCTCGAAACACTCCAGCATTCACAGCATCACCAGAACTGGGACGCTGTCCTTTATCAACAGGGCACACCCTCCAAATGCTGGCCTAGGTTGTCCACTGAATCCTTCCAACAAGCTGTGGGGCAGGTTTTCTCTCCATTTTTCAGGTGCAGGAATTAAACTTGGAAGACCAAATAACTCCAATAAAGTCCCATAGATCAGAAAAGGGGAAACCCCGGATTTGAACTTGAGTGTGTCTTCTGTGTTAGTCCATCTCCTCTTTCTATCAGGAGGAGGGTAGATTGTTGACCTGGCATAGTATCCCAGGGGCTTTTATGACTTCCCTTAGGATGTGAGCTTGGAGCTGGATCCTTGGTCAGGGTTGCTGCCTCTGAGGTTCAGGTCCAATTGGACTGTGAACTCTCAGGCTCCTATTCCATCTCTCTCCCTGTTTCTCACTCCACTGCAGTAGAGGGTAGCTCCCAGGACCCTACCCTCTCTGGTGTCACTTCCAGCATCAAATAATGTGGATTTCAGCAGAGATTATTGGTAGCAGATTCCTAGGAGGCTTAATTGGTTGCTCCATGTCCCCTAATCCCTGGGAGTCAGATATTGTCCTGTTTGGAGTAGGATTTTTCTTTTCTTTTGCTAAAGGTCAGGGGAGATCAAATAGTTAGCTATTTGTGTTTTGTTGTTTTAAATGAAAGTGAAATGAAAGATTGAGAGCAGAAGACAAATATCAGGAGAATTTCATTCATTTTATTTTTTAATTATTATTTTATTTTGGTGCCGGGGTATTGAACACATGGAGGTGCTTAATCACTGAGCTACATCCCCAATCCCTTTTATTGTTTATTTTGAGACAGGGTCTCACTAAGGTGCTTAGGGCCTCACTAAATTGCTGAGGCTGGCTTTGAACTTGAGATCCTCCTGCCTCAGCCTCCTGAATTGCTAGAATTGCAGGCCTGCACCACCGTGCCCAGCTCATTTATTTTATTTTTCACCCAAGATAATGTTATAATCAGAGATGATCTGTCCTTTTTTTTTTTTTTTTAAAGAAGGCAACTAGACCAAGAGATGATCTGTTCTGGTTTCTCAGCCTTCTTCTGTCTTTCTTTTATAAAAGTGGTAGGAAAAAGAGACCATATAATTCAGCTTCATGGATGTCATCAGGTCCCTTCCTGCTTCTCAGGGTGGGGCATGGTGACCCAAAAACTTCTAACTTGAGGATATCCCCCACCTCCAAACTTTTCTTATCTGAAGAACAAGGCAGCTTTTCTCTGTCCACTAATACAAATATCACAGGGTGGAAAACATGCATACATTGTCTAGACAGAGGGACAAGGATCAGAACCCTGAAGAACATCTTGTGCTTTCTCTCCTGTCCTTGCTGGGGACTTGTCTATGTTATCTTTTGGAGAATGCAACAACCAATCCTTGGCAGAGCCAGGCTCAGGAGCCATGGCGTCAGTGTAGGAAGTCCACCCTTCTCAGAAGGAGGAAGATGGTCACAAAGCCAGTACAGCATTGTCTACAGGTCCAGTGGGGGAGGACTGTGGAGAGAACAGTCTCAGAAGAGAGAGGCACATCCCTTATCACATGACATTTGCCTTTATCTTTTGAGATTTCAAACAGGCCATCACCAAAGTCCTTGGGAACTGGGCTGGATTGTGTCAACTTGACACTGCTGCCACTCTCTGCCAGTCTTCCTCCAATGTAGCCCGGAATGCACCTCTCCTGCCGTTTCAGGATAGATCACTGGTGAGGGAGGCCCTGAGAGGCCATTACTCTCGAGCAGCAGCACCCAGAAGATGATTCAGTAAAGTCATTTTTGAAGCAGATTCAAGATAAGTCCTAGAGAAGCTGCCTGCCTCAGTGCCACCAGCTAACATTGTCAATGATGGCTTCCCCGACCTGTTCTCCCTCAGTTCACAATCCCCTGTATTAAAAGCCTTTCTTTTTTTAAATTTTTTTTTTCAGTTGTAGATGGACACAATACCTTTATTTTATTTTTCATATGGTCCCAGGGATCGAACCCAGTGCCTCACGCATGCTAGGCCAGCGCTCTACCACTGAGCCACAACCTGAACCCAAAAGCCTTTCTGTTTAATATGCACAGTGTGGTTCTCTGTTCCTGATTATTACAGTAATTAGGCCAAACCTCAGAATCCTCAGTTTGCCTGCCTCATGGGAAAACGGGCATTCTTCACTTGTCTCATCCTCAACTTTGGTTAGAGGAGACTGCCAGAGGGAAAGTCAGTTTAATGGTGTCCCATCTTAGGAAAATGTGGGCTAATGGAGCAAGCAAGAAAGTTTAAAAACTTCCACATCTTCCATTCATCCTATTTTTCCTTATTTTTATCAAAGTAATCAATATATATGGTTTTTAAAAAATTAGAATGCCTAGTACTGTATTAAAAGCCTCCACCTATACTATACATGCATTATAAATCTGTGCAAACATAGAATGTGCAGTACTAAGAGTGAAACATGGGCTTTGGGTGGGATTGCTGTCGATGTAGATTCTTTGATGTAGCATATGTACCACTTTGGTTAGGGAGGAGGTGCATGTATGGATGCAGGGGATGGGCATGGGAACTCTATATCATCTTCTTAGTTTTTCTGCCAACCTGTAACTACTCTAAAATATAAAGTTTATTTTAACAGAAGTCCCTGACTCATCTTTCCTAGTCTCAGTCCACTTTCCCAAGGTAGTTACTGGATACCTCTAAATAATGTTATTTGTATGTTGTGTAAACAATGTGTCTTTACTGCTGTTTTTGATTCATCGTTATAGATGTCATCAACTTCCCATTCCATTAAATGAAATTTTCTCTCTCATGTATCTTTGGGTCAGTGGGAGGTTGGTTGACCTTCCTGAGCCTGGCTGTCTGGACTGGCTTCAACTGTGGATCCCGAAAGCTTGGCTTCTTGCTGTAGGTTAGGCTCAGCTGTGGTCCACATGCATTTACACCAGTGTTCAAGATGTAGGCGCAGGGAAACTCTTCCCTGGTGATGGCCAAAGCACAAAAGAGAAATCTCACTGCACAAGCAAACCCCTACCATTATCTCATTGGCCAAAGTACATGGGGTGGCCAAGGTCAAGGGTGAAGATGTGTACTCTGTTTAGTAGGAGGGACTACAAAGTCATGTTGCAAAAGGTGTGGGGAAGGGTGAAGAATTGGGGCCATTTATTACCGTATGTCATATTAATTCTATTTTGTTCTAGAACTTTCTCTGCATAACAGTGTTAAGCTCAGATAAATACCACAATGCAGCATAGCCTAACGGTTGGCCTCTTTTAAGTGGCTGATAAATATGCTGATTAGTTTCTTAAATCTCAACACTACTGCAGGGTTCTGAGAAGGAGTTTCCTTGGACAGTTTAGGTTGAGAGGATGAAGAAAGCTGGGTGCAGCTTTTTCACACAGGTCTAGCGTGACTCGCCTTTGTCCTCTCCCCCCTCTGTGCAGTTAAGACTGTCTTCAGGTGGTGTGTAGACAGCGAGTTGTTGCGGAAACACCATTTGATCAGCCCAGAAGATTACTACAGTGACACCGTGCCATTTTGCTCGGCACCTAAAGGTAATGCTTCTGGTTTTTTTTTTTTTTCAGAGCTTTGGGTATCATTCCAGGGACATTCCATAGTAGCAGGGCCACATCAGCCACCTTTGTGGCCATTTCATCACTCGGAGGGTTTTTCCTCTTTAATTTTTATAGTGACAATTGGGAGGGTCAAATCTGAGTGTGCCACTTCCTCACTCTCTCACTGCCTGTAAGACAGAAGTTTCAGACTTTTCAGACTTTTCAGACTCTCTGAAGACATCATAAGAGACCCCCAGATTTTTGGATGTAATTGAATAGACCTACAAAGGAAGGGATTGAAGGCATCTATAAGTAGGGGAGCAAGTTCTGATGAGGCACAATGTGGACAAAGTCTTCCCCATTGGGAAAAAGAGCAGCTTCTCACCCACTGAGAATGGGCAGAAGTATGATTTGGGAGGCAGAGAAGGATGTGTTTGCATGTGTGTGAGATATCGGGCCAGTTTTCTGAGATCAGGAAGGCAAGATCTTCTGAGAATGAGTAGGTCGTGGGCTTATGCAAGGAAGAAGATTTTGAAAGAGTCACTCTGTGGATGAGCAGAGTCTCTGTGAACCCTGTGGCCAAGCATTAGGATTGCCAAATGGTGCCAAGCTCTCCAGCAGAGCTGGTCAGTGGGAGTGTGTGATGATGCCTGGGGTTTGACAGCTTAGAAGGCATCTGGGGGTGGGAAGACTGGGATCCAGAGAGTTGAGGGTGGTGATGAGAAAAGAGTTTCAGTGATGAGTTCCTGATCCACATAGGGAAGAAAAGCCAGGAAGGGGGTAGCAGAATCAAGTGTCATGGATACTAAGCCACTCAGTATTTTACAGTTAGTTGGATACTCACTATCTTATGCAGGTAAATAACCTGTGCTCAGAAATGGGATTGGGGGTGGGGGGACCAATTTTCTTTGAGAACATTCATTGCAGTAAGAATGCATTCCGCTTTTGGAGGATGATCTTACCGATGTTAAAAAGTTAATGCAAGCTGGGCGCAGTGGCACATGCCCGTAATCCCAAGGGCTCGGGAGGCTGAGGCGGGAGGATCATAAGTTCTAAGCCTCAGCAATGATGATGCACTAAGCAACACAGTGAGATCCTGTCTCTAAATAATATACAAAATAGGGCTGAGAATGTGGCTCAGTGGTTGAGTGCCTCCGAGTTCAGTCCCCAATACAAAAAAAAAAAAAAAAAGCTAATGCAAATTTTGATTCCTCGTGTAAGCTTTTCAAAAGGCACGTTCTGGGGTATGTATATATGTGAGTATAACAATGGTCCACTCATGTTCTTTGGACTGGAAAATTGAAAGATATTTTAACCCTGTAGTTCTAAATTGGAAATACAAGGAATAAGTTCTGAGAGTAATTCGCATGTTGAAGAGGGATTACATCTGATGCAGAAAATGTGACATTGGTGCTGACTGTGGCTTTATGTGATCCTCTTAGAAGCACCCGCTTCCTCATCTCAGTTTTGGTAGGTAGCTCAGTGTGTTCCTTTGGTGCCCTAGGCAGTTCTATCCCTGGATATTCAAAACTGACATTCAGTAGTCAGAAGCGTTTCAGCCCCAAAGGAGCATTGGGCAAGAAGCTTGCAGTGCCCTACAAGGAGAAGCTTGGAGACGAGTTCGACTACACTGTGGACAGCCAGGAATGGGATTCAATTCCTAAGGCCAAACAAACGACCAAAAAAACCATCAAGGTTCGTTTTGAGGCCTGTGCACAGCCGTCTGTGTGGGTGGTGGAGACAGGGAGGCGGTCCAGGGAAAAGAGTTCAGATGACACAAAAAGTCGTGATGAATTCGCAGCAAATTAGAGTTGGTGTTGGCATCTGCAGGTCATGCCAGGATGTCAGCACGTACAGCACAGTCCCTTTGCTGTCATTGACTATACTTCTGTGTGTTTCAAAGAAACCAAGTCTACCGAAGAATAAAAACTGGATGAAACACTTACGCATGCCCCAGAGAGAACTGGAGCGACTACTTCTTGCCAGAATGGAGAATCGAAACCACTTCCTGAGAAACCCTCGGTTTTTCCCTCCTAACACTCCACATGGAGGCAAATCTCTTATTTTTCCTCCAATTAAGCCAGAACTGATGGGAGAACACCCGAGTGCAGAGCTGGAACAAAGGTAAGTCTTTCCCTGACTTACACTCTCGGACAACCTGACCCTTTATGGTAAACCCAGAAGGTCCTGGGTCTGGTCCCCCTAGAGTTTGGTGGGCAGGGTAGCAGTATCCATACAGAGCAGGGCTTCAGGGTTACCCACAGACATGGCCTTTGGGCATTCCCCAGAGTCTTGGTCTTATACTTTTCTGATCTGTCAGGTTCATAAATAGGGGAATAGAGAAAATGGGGATTGGTGTTGGCCCTCTGTTGACAGTGGAGCAGTTTGGGTCACGTGAGGAGTCTATCCATAGCCATGTACTCCTTCCATGGAATGTATGTGCCTTGGATAATACCAGTGCTCTGTTGGATTAGTTTAATGCAGTTAGTGCAAATTGTGATTCTTCAGGAGTACCTTTGTCTCTATTTTCAGTAATTGTTCTAATGAAGGGAACAAATTGCTTCATAGGTGTGTCATTTTAATGGACTTAAGACTATTAGCATTTTTTATTAGACAACTGATACCTTTGTATAAAGAAATATTGGAAAGGACTAACATTTGAAAATAAAAACTATTAAAAATCTAGTTAACATATTGGCATTTAAGCTTCCAGAGTTTCCCCTGTGCATATTGAAAACCATATACATGGCTGCACATGTCTCCATAAGGACTGGATCACGTGTTAAATTATTTTGTAACCTATTTAAACAACAGCCATCAAAAACCCCAACAAGTGACATACCGTGAATATCTTTGCTGGCTGCCTGTGTTTGTTTTTGTGTTAATGTCACTGCTTGGTATTTTGTCATGTAGAGGACACTCACAGCCTTTCCCCTGTTTCCCTCCCACAGCTGCATGGATGCTCCAGTGTTTCTTGCTAAACCATCAATTGGGTTTTTCACAGATTATGAAATTGGACCAGTTTATGAGGTAGAAATCTTGATTCTTTATCGATCCCACCTCATTTCCTTCCTTACTAAAAACATCTTTATTATGGAATTTTCAAAATATGAACCATACACAAAACTAGGCAAAAGATGGTAACGTACCCTCATGGGCCCATCATCCAATGTAGTTATCTACATTTTGCAAATGTGGTTTCGTCTGTCACCCCGTAACTTCTTCGTGTGTGTCCACATGCACATTCACCAGCTGGCATATTGTGAGGGAAAGCCAGCACATTCTTCTTCAATTAATAGTTAAGTGTCTCTAACAGACAAGGACTTTTAAAAAGCAATCATAATTCTATTATCACACTCGGACATACTAGCCAGGATTCCTTAATATAGAATAATAACCTATCAATATTTTATCTTGTTCCATTTGATTTAAAAAAAAGTCAGTGGATTTATTGGCATCAGAATCTAAACATTGCATCTGAGTAAAAATAATTCTTTGTTTTCCCTTAGTTGAGAATAATTCCTCCCCCAAATCTAAGTTTTTTAAAATGCCATTTATTTGTAGAAGAAACTTCATTTTTTGTATTCTGGATTTGGCCAGTTGTCTTCTTGTTGGTGACATTAACTATGTCCCTTTATTCTCCACCTTTTACATAAACTGGTAATTACATGTAAAGGTTTTTGATTAGATGGTTAGATTCAGGTTCAATTTTGTTTTCTTTTGGGCAAGAGTACTTCTTTGGTGGTACTGTGTATTATTGCTCAGGAGGAAGCACTCTCTGGGGTCAGGTGTTGTAAGCCTCTCTACCGTTATCAACTGACGACTTCCTGGTTAGCAGCATTGGATGATTGTTGCCTGCTTTTTTTAAAATTGGAGTTACAAAATGGTGATTTATAGTTTTGCTTTTCCTTTTACATTCATCAACTATGATTGTCCCATTGGGGGGAAAAAAAACCTAACTTTCCCTCTAACTTCTATTCTCATCTCCTCTTCCTTGTACTCTCCTTACCTCGTCAGGTTATGATTTTTATTGGATTGGTTTCTTCCATTGTTTCTTTTTGGAACCATAAGCAAACATGTATATATTTTTGAGTCCCTCTCCTCCTTACTCTCCTCTTCCCCTTAACAGCATACCCAGCAATTCCTCTGAGAGCCACACATAGAGATTTTCTTATCTCTTTTCCCAACTTCTGCCTTAACGCTGGCCTCCCACCACTCTGGGGAATGGTCACAACCACACTTGGCTCCACCCACCAGGTGCAAATGCCTCTTGACAACAGCCCCTTCACATGCAGTGGATTGCACTGTAGAGTTTAAAGAGCTTGTGCATATCCATATCTTTAGGAACTTCTCAACCACTCATGGCAAAAGGCGCGTGCACACACACACATACACACACACACACACCCTTAATGACTGGGTGTAGCAATGTTCTAGAATAGCATGAGGGACCAGAAGTATCACTATAGCCATTTTTGGAAAATCAAATCCAGGATGGTGGATTGTATCTAGTGAGTTCTCTTGGGAATCATCATGTGTCTGTTGGGCCTGTGACTGTGCACATAACAGTATTAACCAGCTACATTATGAAGTTTAAGGATGTTTCAAATTTCCAGCGTCTTTAAAAATGTATGTTCCATGCACCCTGAAATTTCCAGGGAACGTGCTCCATAGACATAAGTGAACCAAGGTAGAGGAAGACATGGAACATGGAAAGAGATCCAACATAGGAGGGGGTGAAGGGAACCCTCAGTTTAAAACTTGTCAGGGAATTTTGGGGGTTACTGTTGCTGCAGAGCAAATTCTCTAAACTTAGTGACAACCATTTTTATTGTGCTTATTCTTTTTTTAAAAATACTTTTTTAGTTAGACACAATACCTTTTTTAAAATTTATTTTTATGTGGTGCTGAAGATTGAACCCAATGCCTCACACATGCCATGCAAGTGCTCTGCCCCTGAGCCACAATCCTAGCCCACTTATTGATTCTTTGGATTGGAAATTTGAGCAAGGCACAATGAGAATTGGCTTATTCTGCAATGTTTTAAGACCAGGACTGGTAAGTTGGTGTTTAGAGGTGACTCAAAAGTTTGGGATTGGAATTCTCCGAGGCATTTCATTCACATGGGTGCTGATGCTGAGTTAGTCGACTAGAACACTGACCTAGAGCTTCTCTACCTGATCTGGGACACCTCACAGTGTGGCGGTCTCAGGTAATGAGACTTTTACATGACAACAAGAAGTGAGCATCCTTGCAAGCCAGATGGCTTTTATGACCTAACCTTGGCAGCTACACAGCACTACTTCCTCTGAAAGCGAGTTGGTTATTAACTTCAGAAAAATACACATTTGTGCGAGGGAGGGAAAGAAAGCCGAGTTTGCCTCCTGCTCAGCTGGGAATAGCATTTACAGAGTGCCTTTAATGTACTCATTACTGACCTAATCAGTAATATGATGTAACTCTGCTGGAAAGATGGGGGATAGGAAGGGAAAGTCACACATTGAATTGGATATGGGAGAGGAAAGAGGGCATAGCCACATGATCCATCTGCCATTAATCCCTAAAACTGAAGGGAACGTAATGTAATGTGCAACTCAGACATGGAAATGAATAACAATCAGCTGAAGGAGGAAAAAGCATTTGCCCTTAGAGGGTGGGAAATGGCAGGGTGGAGACCAGGGGAAGGATTTCTATTTTCAAAACCTCGTAGAACTTTCTGCCTCTTCAAACTAGGAGGCTGTCCCACTCTGGTGAAAATAACTTTAAAAAGCACTTTCTATATAAAATAAAACAAAAACTACGTTGTACCAAACATTCAAGCTAATGCCTATTGTGTATAAATTTTAATTATAAGCTTTAAAATTAACTTATGTAAGTTTTATATGAATTGTTTTAGATGCTAGAAAAAGGGGGAACCTGCCCTCATTATTAGATAATGAGCCAAAAATTACCTTGACACTAAATGAAAAAATGCAAATCAATCTTGCTGAAGAACATAGGTACAGAAATACTAGGTAAAAAGCAGCAAACCAAAGCAAGCAGGAATTAAAAAACACACAGGAGTAAGTGTAACTCAGGAATGCAAAGAATGTTTCAGTGGGGGCTGAGTTGGCAGCTGGCTGCCTCAGCCTGTTATTTTCCCCTCCAAGGCTTCTAGCGCTGGTAAGGAAAGCCAACCCACTCCACGCTCCATATAATTATCACTGCCTCAGACCTTCCAGCCTCCCCAGCTACCACTTGTCACTGCCTGACCATCTACTGGTTCCTCATCCCAGCTGACCACTGGTGGAAGCATTAATAATTGTGATGCCATCATGCTAGGAGCCTCACACCCTGCTTCCTGCCAGCTAGGGTTCTTACTGCCACCAGACTGGTAAGCCAATTCCAGAATGGCATCCTCGGGGTCTACCGTTTTAGTACCCTTCTTGTACTGACTGTGTGGGCTCAGATTTCCCGCACAGCAGAGTCTGAGATGGTGAGATTATTTATGATCATTTACAATTCCAGTGAGGGAAAGGGGATAAAGGAAGGAGCTAATATGAGACTATATTATAGAGCTGACCCCCATTAAGTGCAGTCGATTGCCTTGTCTAGTGGGACATGCCCTGAGAAGCCTACAACCCCCTGGCTCCTGCCTTTCCCCAGTGGGAGGTTTGCCTTGCGTGGCTGGAAGCAAGACATGACTCAGCTGACGTGATCAGCTACTGCCAGGAGCACCTCAATTTTTAATGACAGCAGTGGCTGCAACTAGCTCTGACTAAGGGATCAGTGCATGCTCTTGCTACCGTGGATGTGTGCAGACCTGCCAATACCCATACCCCAAACCAAATAGTTTCCAGTAAACAGCTCAAGGTAAAAGAGCTATTGTTTTAGTTAAAAATATAGCGAGTATGGAAAGATTTCCTGAAACTGAAGCACAAACCATAAACGACTGATAAAATTTATATTAAAATTTTAGAAACCGAAACAGGGTGTAGCTCAGAGGTAGAGTGTGTGCTTAGCATGCATAAGGCCATGGATTCAACTCCTAGAATGTACACACACAAATTTTAGGAACCATAAATCAAAAGATAATGCAAGTTTGTAAACTGGAAAATGTTTATAGTTTCTACTTTATAAAGAATTAGTTTCAACATATATAAAGAACTCCTACAAATCAAGACAAAAACAAACTCTGTAATGGCAAGAGGTAAGAGGACATGAGTAAACAACCCACAGAAGAGAAAACCCAAATAGCAAATAAACATGAAAAGATGCTCACTATCAATAACAGAGGAATGAAAATTAAAACTATAAAATGGGTCTTTATAAATTGTGGCCTGGTTCACAGGTGAATTGATCAAAATGTTGTGCTGGTGAAAAATTGACTTAAGAGGGGCTGGAGATGTAGCTCAGTGGTACAGCACCTGCCTACCATGCACAAGACCTGGATTCAATCTCAAGCACTGGGGGGAGGGGGAACTTAGCTGTTGATTTAGGAATATATATCTCTGAATAAAAATACGAAGGCGTATTTTCAAATCTATGTAGATGATGTCTGGTGGGGAGCTGGTAGAGGGTTTCAACCGAGTTTATAATGTTTCTTAAGTTAGGTAATAGAAACATGGCTTTTGTTGTGTTATAATTTATACATTTTTCCTAGTATTATATTTCACAAAACAGAATAAAAAGATACGTACATGTTTTAGGCTCCCTCCTCTGTGATGGGTGCTGTTGTGGTTGAGTTCCAGGGCTTACCCTTAGGGATCTCCCACTCTGAGGCAGGGAGAGAGGTGGGATTTCAAAGGGGCCGGATGGGTTGCCCGATGGAGAGGCCCAGTTACAGCCCTGACACACATGTGCCCACAATATACCTTGACTGGGCCTGTGAGAAGTGGCGGCTCAAAGGAAAATGTGGGGAAGAAGACAATACATGAGGTGAGGTGGTCAACACTTTGGATCCAAATGTCTTGAATCTGAATCTCTGAGGAGCCTCTTTGCACCTCAGGTTCTTCACCTGTTAAATAGAAAGAGTGCTCGCCTCTCCTGGTTGTTGAGAGGTTGAGGAGGCACAGAGTAGATGCTCAGTAAATAGTGTGATCTGCCTTCTGTATCTGTGTAAGGATAGCTTTCACCTAAGAAGGGCCTTAACCTAAGTGAATCCATTCTGAAATAAAACTGCAGTCCCCACCAGGCACACCTACGGAGCCCTCCAATATGGTCCCCAGGCATAGCCTGATAAAATAAGTCACTTTCCACAACCCTGATAAAACTCGGAGTGAAGTGCTGTCATTTGCCTTCACCCTGATAAAGGCAAAAGGCGAGAGATCAGGAAACCACAGATCAGATGGCTTGACCTCAGAATGAAAGACGTCACTGAGAAACCCAGTAACAGCTGATAGGGATTGAAAGGGTAGTCAGAAGCCCCAAAATTTAACATAAATGATGGAGCAAATGAACAGACATTCAGCCAGCTGACACTGATGCACACAAGCCTGAGAGCCTGATGAGGACCTGGGCTGACCTCCCAACTCTTCTCATCTGCCTGATCCTGTGTTCTCACCGCTCTCAAACTCTACATTAGCCTCTTGACTCTGGTGAGAACAAGATTTCTCCTTATGACCATCTCCTCTGTCTATTCCTGACTGGTTGCTGCAGTCTGAGTGAGTGTGCATCTGCTGGACTTAAGATCTAAGACTTAAGACTTTGAATCTAGCACTTAAGCTTAGCCTGCAGAGGGAATGTCTGTAACAGGTCTGTCAATCAAGTGTGTTTGCAGTGCTTAGAATTAAAGTAGAATTGTTTACTTTGAATTGATTCTGTCTATTGCAATGCCCAGCATTAAGGATTGTCATTCCTTGATTACGAACCTACAGAGTGAAATTGTATTAAGTGACTAAACAAAACATTGAAAAGAGCAGAAGCGCATGGACATTCTTTATCTCTCTCCTCCACTGCAGATATCACACTTTTGCTCATCATGACAATCTGCAAGTTCCTTAGCCATGGATTCAACCAAGAATAGATTGAAAATATCACTCTTCCCCAGATTTCTGAAAGTTCCATAAAGCCAAATTTGAATTTGCTGAGTGCTGAGCACTGTGCTAAATTTCTGAAGGTGTAACAATATATAGGCGGACCCTGCCAAAGTATCCCATCATTTCACTTTGAGCATTGTTCACCTTGAGTTTCGTTCACATACTATTTATTTAGGCCTACAAGGTTTGCATCTGTACTGAACACATAACAGACATTCTTCTTGTCATTGTTCCCTAAACAATACAGTATAAGAACTATTTACATAGAGCTTACATTGTGTTAGTTACTGTAAGTAATCTAGAGATGATGGGCACCTAAAGGCTGAGAAGTGTTAGAGGATGTGTGTAGAGTGTATGTCAATACTGAGCCATTTTATAGAAGGGATTTGGTAAGGGATCTGCAGGTTTTAGTTATCTGCTCAGGTCCTGGAACCAACCCCCATGCATACAGAGAGACTATTGTAGTTGTTTTAAGCAATGGGACAAAATAGAACAGCTCTACCTCCCTCTTCATCTTTAAGGTTTAAATTTTTTTTTTTTCACTGTGGAAACTTCCTGAAACAAACAAAAGTAGACAGAATAAGATGATGAATCCCGTATGCTCATCACTGAGCTCCAATACTTACTAACACATGGCCAGGTTTATTCATTTATGCCTCCTCCCTTTCTATATTACTTGAAGTTCTAGACACCACATGGCTAGGTCCTTAAATGCTGCTGTGTAAAAGAGATCACCCTTGCCTTTAAACAGATGGTCATCTCGCTGCAGAACACCACCTCTGCCAGCCGCTACCTGCGAGTCCTTCCGCCTTCTACCCCACACTTTGCTCTGGGATTGGGTGAGTTTAGCATAGTTGCTTTCTAGATGGCTACAAAATTACCTGCTGGGCTGGCTGCCGGGACTGAGCCACCGGGTCCTGCTGACTCCCTGTGCTGGGCTCAGGGCTTCTCCCTCAGCAGTCACTGGAGGCCCTTGTGCTCAGCTCAGAGCCTCCCAGTGACGCCCCAGCGCCTCTCTCCTGATCATCTCCCTAAGGCACTGGTTCTGCCATCTCCCGTGCTTCACGCTGTCACTGCCCTTGGTCAGGCCCTCCTCCTGGCTCATGTCCGCGCAGCCACCTCCCAGATTGGATGGGAGTATTGGTTTCAATAACAACCCCAATCATGTCACTCTTTCTCGGAAATCTCAAAGGACTCCCTACTGCCCACAAAATAAATTTTAAGTCACGCTAACCATTCCAGATGGATCATGGCACCCCCAGCTTGGGCCCTAGGGTTTTTTTTTTGGCCTCGAGTCCCTGCCCTTGAAGCCTGTCCCCTAGCGCACCCTGGTGGTTCTGCTTGGCCTTGACCCAGAAGGGATTCACTCACAGAGCCAGACCCAGCCGTGGTTGATCTGAGGCAGCTAGGCTCAGCCAGGGTGGTTGGTCCTGATCCTCTGGTGGCTTTTGTCCTACACAGGGATGTTCCCAGGAAAAGGTGGAATGGTGGCTCCGGGCATGACTTGCCAGTACACTATACAGTTTATCCCGGACTGTCTCGGGGATTTTGATGATTTCATTTTAGTCGAGACCCAGTCAACTCACACGCTCCTGATCCCCCTGCAGGCCCGGAGGCCGCCCCCCGTGCTGACCTGTGAGTGTGTGCTACCCTTCCCAGGGATTCAGTTAGGGCGGGGAGTCCCCATGAGGACCACCTGCCCCTTGGGTAGCAGCGTAGAGCTTGGTCCTCTTGAGTTTCTGGGTGGGAACTGCCAAGCAGCTTCCACACCATCTTCCAGAATGTCGGGACCTGATCTTACTGTTCACTTTGGGTGTCCCCTGGAGGTTGACCCACATGGGAGGGAGGGAAGCCTGCAGCCCAGCTAACCCCGTCACAGATGGGGCTGGCTGGTGAACACCCCTGACGCCATACTGAGTGAGGCAAGAAGCAAGTGCCGGGGCACCCTGAAGAGTTTGCAGTGGATGTTGTCTCTGTGGCCATGGGGTGAGCTCCCGTGGAAGAATTTCCTTTGGGCACCCTCAGTTATGTCTTTTCAGCTGGATGTAGGTGAAATTTAGGACTCTGATTCCCCTCACTTCGGCCACAATCCCTAGGGTCATGCTGGGTGGCCCTGGCCAAGGCAGGAGCCCACAGTGTGTGCTGGCTCCCCCAGCCTGGCCGGAAGTAGACAGTGGTCCTATGGTGCTCAACTGCCATGTGGCTCAGAGCAGCTTGAGTAGGACCCAATTGGTACAGGGTCAGGTGTCCCCTTTATTCCCTCTGATTGGGGTGCTGCCTAGGACCCCCACATCCTTATGCAGCTGCTGTGCGCTCTGGCTGAACCTCAGGATCACAATGACAACAGGGCTCATTCAGTGTGACCTGTTGCCTCTCTCATGCATCTTCTCCTGTGGCTGCAGTGTCGCCAGTGTTGGACTGTGGTTACTGCCTCATTGGAGGAATAAAGGTAACCAGATTCATCTGCAAAAATGTGGGCTTCAGCGCTGGCAAATTCTGCATTATGCCCAAAAAGAGTTGGCCACCACCAAGTTTCAGGGTGAGTGATAATAGATTGGAAAAAGAGCAAATCCATCAAAGGAAATAACCCCCTGGAGGGAGTTGCTAGACTGCACCTGTTAGCCAGGGCTGGAAGGCAGGGTCTGTGCACTTGCCCCATTGGCCTGGCTTCTCCATTGCCCGAGCAGCTCCAGCCTGACACCCCTGATCAGCATGAGCGTGCTGTTCTTTATGTTTAGTAGGGAGATTCCTCTGTACCCTTATGTCCAGAAAACATGTGCTAGATCCAGAGGACCTCACATCCCAAGGAACATATTTTTCTCCCTTCAGGTACCTGCCAGGGTCTTGCAGGCATGGTTTTGTATCCCGGACATGCTCAGTGGCTTCTCCTGTAGACACTGGGGCTGCAGCTCTGCTAACAGGATAGCAGGTGCCCCCATGAAACAGGAGCACAGGGCCAAGGGTGGGATGGGAATGGAGGCAGACATACCGGCACCACTGGCAGGATGTTGTGGCAGGGAAAGGACGATGTGCCTCAGGAGGACCTTCTCACCCCCTCCTGCTTGTGTCCCATGCACTTGTCCATGACATTCCTTGTACCTGCTGCCAGTGGTCAGCTCTTTAAAACTCTGTGACTTCCTCGTCTTTAACCTTCAGAATCTTGTGCCTGGCGCCTGGTGAAAGGCAAGACAGCGCATGCTCAATGAGGGCGTCACAGACTCTTTCAGGATCCCTCAGATAGCAACATGAATGATAGAAGTCTGCAACATAAGCACTGGGCTTTACACTCTTCCCCACACCTTTGTGTATTCTGCATGTCTTTAAGGCGGTTGCAACTTCCGGCTTTGTTGAGCAGCCTCCCTTTGGAGTCATGCCATCCGTGTTTGAGCTGGCCCCAGGCTTTGCTGTGTTAATAGAGGTAGGTGAGGGGACACTGGCTCATGATCCTTCCTCTTCATGATTGCTCATGGCTGTTTTCTCCGCTGCTGCATGATTGCATTTGCCTGTGATTTCATGACCCAAGTACATATTCCTGCATCTTGTAGGCCATTGTCATTTGGCTGTCTAATGATCTCTCTCTCTCTCTCTCTCTCTCTCTCTCTCTCTCTCTCTCTCTCTTTGGTACTGGGGATTGAACTCGGGGGCATTCAACCACTGAGCCACATCCCTACCCCTACTTTGTAGGAACGTAGGGTCTGAGTTGCTTAGTGCCTCGCTGTTGCTGAGGCTGGCTTTGAACTCACACCTCCTGTCTCAGCCTCCCGAGCTGCTGAGACTACAGGTGTGCCCCACCGTGCCTGGCCTTATGAATGACCTCTCTTGCAAAGCAGATGGAGCTGTCATTTCCAGTGTAGTCCCTGAACATCTCTTGTCTGTAGCTGGGATTCATCTCCAGCCATTACAGAAAACACTATGGAGGTTTCTCCAGAATTAAAAATAGAACTACCACATGATCCAGCTGTCCCTCTGCTGGGTATATACCCAAAGAAATGAAATCAGTATGTCGAAGAGGCATCTGCAATCCCATGTCTTTGACAGCACTAATCACAAAAGCCAAGATAGGGAATTATCCTAAGTGTCCATCAATGGATGAATGGATAAAGAAAATGTGGTATCCATATGCAATGGAATATTATTCAGCCTTTAAAAAGGTACAAATTCAGTCATTTGGGATAACATAGATGAAACTGGAAGACATTATGTTGAGTGACATAAATCAAGCATAGAAAGACAAATACTGCATGATCTCACTTAACTGTTGAATCTTAAAAAATAGAGCTTGGAGTAACAAAGTAGAATGGTGGTTACCAGGGCCTGGGGGTGGAGAGAAATTGGGGGGAAATATAGTACAAAATGTATCAGAGTGAGCTTTCTGCTCTGTGCCAGTATCATCAGGGGGAAAAAAACCCTGTTTTTCTGGGTAGTTTTCATTTGTTTCTTTTGTTAGAAATGAGGTTGCATGTTGTCATCTGTTTTTTGAACTTTGTTTTCACACCCTTTCAGTCTACTCCCTGCATTACTCTGGGATGGGGCCTGGACTGAAACCTCTAGGCTTGGGGGGGGGGGTCAGGCATGGAGGCTGGGGAGCAGAGAGCAAGGGGAGAGTGCATGTCTGAGAAGAGGAAGGAAAGATAGGGGTGGGAGCCCCTGATGGGGGGTGACAGGGCACCTCTTCTCCCCCAGGTCTTGTTCCTCCCAATGAGCCTGGAAAAGGTGGAGCAGACCTTCATCATCGTGTGTGACAACTGCCAAGTCAGGGAGCTGGTGATCACAGGTGGGCTGGTGTGTGCTTCTGGGGCCTGGTGGGCACAGACACTGCTCCGGGAGCTGCTTTCGCTGCACAGCGGCCCGGCTTCACGCACCCTGTGTCAGGCAGCCGTGGGGGATGCTGGGGTCACCAGATGCCAGGCACTAGCTTTTGGCCCTTCATTCTTGGATCTTGAATACCCAAGCTAGTGTGGCCTCCAGGACAATCCAAGGGGCCTTTTGGTGAGGAACAGGTGGAAACCTGGGGTGCCATTTTGTAATTTCCCTTTGGATCTCGCTGTGATCTCATTTGGGGAATTATCAGCAACACACAGAAACCACCAGAGGCACCTCTAGGTTTCCGGAAGGTTAGAAGAGCCTTCCTCTGAGCTGCCTTCCCAACATTTCTGCCTTCTCCCTGCCCCCTCCCTTCCTTCCACCCAGTTTCACTTGGCAGGTATTGAGTGCTCGCTATATTCAAAGTTCTCAAAATCCCCTCCTTTGGGTCTGTGAAGAGATGGGGACATGAGTACGTGTGCTAATGGCCCTCTTTTCCCTCTTGCATGTGCTTTTGGGAATCATGGTCAAGGGCCACTGAATGAGGGTGGTGGCATGGGTCCTATGGCAGCTATTGATCAGAGTCCTGCCTTCAGCGTATGGGAGCTTCTCTGAACACTACCTACTTGGTCAGGAAGGGGGCAGCTGATCGCTTTGGATCTGATCTATGTTTCTGGTGAAAAAAGTCAACCGGACCCTGGAGAGCTCACAGACTTAACGGCCCAGCACTTCATACGCTTCAAGCCTGAAAACATTCGATCCACAGCAAGGAAACAGCTGATTATCCGAAATGCTACGTGAGCTGCCCCTGGGCGTGCCCCTGACGCATACCCCTGCCCCTTCCCCTTCCTCTTCCCCTTCCTCACCCGACCCTGAATTTCCACTCAGGCCGGAGCTTACTTGCCTTGGGGATTCTGATCTCAGATTAGATCCAGACTGAATGTAAGGACCCAGATTTACTCTGTCCATCATAGTGGTCACCAGGCACATATGGATTTTTAAATCTAAATCAAATAAAATTACAATTTTCTTCTAGGGTGCTAGTCACAGTCTAGTCACACAAGAGCTCAGTATCCACAGGTAAGCAGTGGCTACCCTATTAGTGCAGCTCTCTAAGACTTCCATTGCTTCGGGAATCTCACTGTCACAGTGCTGCTCTAAACTATTTCAGTCCACCCCGAGCCAGGGATAGTTTTCCACCTTACTTCCTGTGCTGGGGAAGTAATCCTGGTCCCCAGCCCTACATCTGTTGGTTCAGCTCTCATTGCCATTTATTTTCTGACCAGCCTCTGAGCATTACCCTTCTGTCGGGGACCAACCTCGGGGAACTTCCAGCCCAGGCTACCTGGTGACCTGAGATGCTAACAGCCGCTGTCTACAACATGGCCAGAGTCCTGCCCCTCCTACTGCCGTGGGGTTTTCATTGTTTCTCTTGGCAGTGAGGGGGCACACGTCTTTCATGACATAGCTGTCCTGGGAGGCGACAGCTGGAGGCGGAGGGCAGGGACGGGTGGATGTGGCAAACTGTGGAAACTCTCACTTGGTAGAAGATAGTGCAGAGGATTTTCCTAACATTTTCCAGGGGTTGGGGCTGAGGGGGCTAGATACCTTTGGTTTAATGCTTAGTTTTTAGATTTTAAATCTAAATCAATTAAAAGTAAATTAAATTGAATTGATTTAAATGATTAAATTAAATGATTTCCTGAGTTGTCCGTTTCCCCTGATGTGCTGCGGTTCCAGTCTCTAGAGCTGTGGATGGGTAGAGGTGGCTCTCTTTCATGGCCTCTAATTTGGGCACCCTGACTCGCCTACCGTCCTTATGCAGTTCTCCTTAGGCTCCTCCATGGCAACTGCTTGAAGACTGACCTAGTCACTTCCTGTTTCTGGGTGTTTTCTTGCTTTCTCCTGGAGCAGAGCTGGCCAAGCATGGGGTGGGAGGACCTGGTCCTGGAAGAATTGGAGCACAGCATTAGATCTGCTGCCCAATGTCATGATTGCCCCCACAGACACGTGGAGCTGGCTTTCCACTGGCAGATCATGAAGCCCAACCTGCAGCCCCTAATGCCTGGAGAAACCTACAGCATGGACAGCATCAAGTACCACCCTGACAGGGAGACTGCCTTCTCCATCATACCCGAGAAGGGGGTTCTGAGCCCCCACAACAACCAAGAATTCATCCTGAGCTTTTCTCCTTATAAGGTTAGCATGATCTCATTAGGCACACAAGATCGTATTATAGCCCCCAAATCCATGTTCTTTAATGACATCAAAGCCACAGCTGAGCCTGAACCAGGTACCTGGGTATCCTGCCAAGACTGGCACCTAGATGGCTTAGCGTGTCACTGGACCATATGCCTGGTGAGCAGGACAAAGCAGATCATACTGCCTGGTTCTGATCCAAGACACCCCACCTGCAACAAGTCCTGGGTTCATTTCCACATCCCTGGTTGTGTCAAAGTACATTACCATGCCTACCCATCCTATGGCAGTGCCTAGAGAGGGAGGTGCAGGTTCCCAAGGCCTGGTTAGCACAGGGCCAGTCCAGAGCCCTTGCTGCTGGTTCTCGGACCTGAGTGAGCAGGGCTGCCTCTGGAGCCAGCATGCAGCCGCTTCACTGTCTGGGAGTTTGTGCTTCAGACACTCCAAGGGCCTGCCCAGGGCCCATGTCAGCCTGGTGGGGGTCTGGGGATGATTTTGTTGTTCCCTGAGTCAGGGATAGCTCCTATCCTGGCAGCAACCCCACTTTCTCAAGTGTGGGCAAGAGGTGGCAGGGAAGCGTTTCTGGCACAACTATGGGGAGGAGAAGCTCCTGCCCGCACCTGTCTTCTCTAGGCAGCTTGCAGGATTTTCAGGGTTCTGTGTTTCCTTGTAGCTGAGGAACTACCACAGTGTGCTGCAGATGGTGCTGGAAGAAGTTCCTGAGCCCTTGAAGTGAGTAGGGCCTATGGATGAGGGTGGGCAGCTGGGCCTGGCCTCCCCCTGGGGATGCTTCTGAGGAAGGTTCCAGACAGGATGGGTGAGAACTTGACCCCAACAGGCTTTGAGGGCTATGAGCATTTTAGCATTGCCCTGGCAATCAGCTTACAGTGGGCATCTAGGAGGTGCTAAGGATGCACTGCTAGGGGTGGGTTTCCAGTCAGCCTAGTGCAGAGATCCCAGGCTAGGACTGCAGTCTGGTCCCTGGAGGCAGCAGGGCAGTGTCCCTGTTTGAGGCCTGCTTTCACAGCGCAGGCATTCATAGTCTTCCAGGGCACTGACTGATGCTCCTGCTTGTCTCAGGTTGGGAGCTGTGGGTAGGGTGGAATCTTCTTTTCATAAGGCCAACCACGTGGGACAGAGGCAGGGACGTGCCGTGATGTGCTCCCGGGCTGCGTCAGCTCCTAGCTCATGGTGGGTTTATGTTCAGTTCAGAGGTGAATAATCTGGAGGACTACACATACTCTGTGGATGACGTGATTGTCATGGAAATTGAGGTGAAAGGCTCAGCGGAACCCTTCCAAGTTCTCTTAGAACCCTACGCCCTCATCATCCCAGGGGAGAACTACATTGGCATAAATGTGAAGAAGGATTTTAAGGTAGGTCATCATCTGTCCCCTGTGTGGGCTGACTGAAGCAGTGTGGCACTTGGGTGAGGGTACAGGAAGGACAGAGCTGGAGCAGCCACTGCACAGAGCCTGAGGGCCCCTGAATCCAACGGGGATTCACATAGATGCCTAGAGCCAGGTAAGTCTGTTTTATTTTATCAATGTTCCAGAGTCCTCTGAAGTCAGGGCTGCCGAACTCACTCCCAGGTTCCCAGGTCACTGGCAGGATATGGCAGGCACCCTCATCCCTGCAGCATGGAGTGAGGGTGCTGTGTTGGGAAGGCTGTGGCTTCGGGTGGCCAGGAGTTATTTGGGAGTGGGGGTCAAGTGGACCCTTTGTGAACCCTTAATCCCACAGTCCTTCAGCAGGTACAGACATGACATGAAAGGGCAGTCCTGGGGCAGCCTAGATTGGGGTGTGTCTTTCAGATGTGGAACAACAGCAAGTCACCCATCAGGTACACGTGGGGGAAGATCAGCCATTGCCACATCATTGAAGTAGAACCCTGCACAGGGGTCATAGGTACCTTGGGGACTGCAGGGGGAGTGACCTCCCTGGGGTGGCTGCAGGAGGAGGTTTTAGGGTTCAAGGGGCCTGCACAAGGCCCTTGGTGTCTTGTGATCAGCTCCAGCATGGCAAGAAATGAGTACAGGCCAGATGTCTGGGCCCAGCCACAGAAGGAAACTTCTCCACCTCACTTTCCCCTCTTTCCCAGAGCCCAACGAGGTTGGGGATTTTGAGTTGAACTTTACCGGGGGTGTCCCTGGCCCAGCAAGCCAGGACCTGCTGTGCGAGATCAGAGACTCACCCTCGCCAGTGGTGTTACACATCGAGGCTGCCTTTAAGGTGCTGCATACGGGGGTTGGGTAGCAGGGTGGGCCCAGAGAGGTGGCAGGGGTAGGACACAGAGCCCATTCCCTGGCTGCTCAGTAACAGATCCCTCCGGATGTCTCAGGGGCCTGCACTGGTCATCAGCGTCTCGGCCCTTCGGTTTGGACTGCTCCGCCTGGGGCAGAAAGTCTCGAAGTCCATCCAGATCCGGAACATCAGCCAGCTCTCAGCCATGTGGCACATGAGAGAGAGTCCTGTCTGCCTAGAAGAAAGGCATGAAGATGTAAGTCAGGGGCTGCTGGCTCCTAGGATGCCCCCTCTCCCAGGAGCCAGTTCACCTTGGCTCAGGTCTGAACTGGGAAACTTGAACTGTGTTTTCCAATCAGAGCCCCGGGGCTGCGAGAGAAGGCACCCTTGGCAATTGTCACCTGGCCGTGTCTCTAACTCTCCCCACCATGAGGCAGCTCCTCTCCCCAGAATGTGTTCCCCCACCCAATTCAACAGGTGGTTCTGGTTCCCTTTTCTACCATCAGATGCAAAATAGGACCTGGGCTTCTCCCTCTGCTGAGCAGTCCAAGTTTGGAAGCACATGGGCAGCTGCTTTGGGCAGAAGTCATGTTCTGCTGGGCTCCTCCAGGGCTAGGATCCTTCTGGGGCCTGTGCCTGCAGTGGGTACTGCCAGCAGGTGGCGCCTGGGCACAGGCATGTGGCCCAAATATGAAGACTTAAAAATCTAGTTTTTGGGGGGTTTTTGTTTGTTTTTATTTGCATTTTTTTTAGCCCTTTCTGTAGCAGAGCTTGGACCCCAAACTTCAATGCCTGAATGCTGACAAGCACAAAGCCTTCTTTTCCTATGAGAGCAAGTCCTGTGCAGCCCCTGCTAAAGGCCAGAGAGGTTGAGGCTCAGAAGCAGGAAGCCACAGCACCAGGCTGACCCTTTGGTTGGGCATGGTGGCCTGGGTGGGGTGGGGGAGGGAGAGGGCAAATCAGGCCACTTAGCACCTCCAGGCAGGCATGACCCTTGCACTCACTGTGAGGTTCTCATAGGAAAGACCCAAGAGAAAGATAAGGTCCCTTCTGATATAACCTTTCCATGTCTAGTGACACCCCACTATTCCATGTGACCCACCCCGGGTCCTAGGGTTACTCAGTCAGAAGAATGTTCCATTTCTCATCAGATGGGAAGAACTAAATGGAAAGAGCCCCTTCCCTTTCCCTCTCCCCGTTAGCCAAGGTCAACATACCTGATATAAGGGGAGGGACACACCTTCCAGGTGAAGGAGTCCCATCCTCCAAGGGATGAGAGGGTGGAGAAAAGACCACCTGGGTGTAAAGGAGAAATTGTGGCCCCTTCTGCAATCTGGGTGGCCTGATGGCTCTCCTCAACTGAAGCCGTCAGAGTCCTGACCTAGGGTTCCCCATAGGGCTCACAGGCTCTCCTCCTGCTCCCCAGCTGGAATCTCCATCTGCCTGCTCTGGTCTCCCCACATCCTGGGGCCTCCCTCTGCCTTCTGCCTCTCAAATCTGGGCCAGGGTGTGGGCACCTGGCTTGTGCATTCCTGTGCTTGGAAACTCACTTTTTATCCTCAATCCTGAGACTCTTGCCCAGCCATAGTCCCCCACATGCTTGCCTCTTTCTGGGTCCCAGATGGCTCTGAGAGAGCCAGGGGCCCTTGGAGGTGCACCTGGTTGGGCATGGTCAGCCCCCAGGGCCTCTGCAATTCTCCATGTCTTCACTCCTCATCCTTCTGGATTGGCACCAGGCATCTCCCTTGGACATTGAGCCTTCAAGTGGTTACCTTTACCCTCTGGGGGAGTGCCAGGTGACTGTCACCTTGGAGGCCTTGCACTGTCAGCGTCTGCAGACTGTACTAGAGCTGGAAGTGGAAAAAGGGACCTGGAGGTACGGGGCTATGGGAGATGGGAAGATGACAACAGTATGTGCACATTTATAGTATATTTATTTATACTATGTGCAATGATGTATTTATCTAGAGACATTTCTGAATTTAAATTGACTTATACATGTTTGTCCTATAACATTTGAAAATTACCCAGAAGAATATTAAGATGATCCATAATCCATTACCTAGAAATAGTTCACTGATAATATTTTGGGGTATGTCTTTAGGATGTGTGTGCTAAAGGAATGTACATTAGTACAACCACCTTCAAAACCATTTTACTGTTTCCTGGTGAGATGTGACATAATAGTGAAAAACTAGAAACCCTAATGTTCATCAACAGGAGAATGAGCACAAAAAGAGTGACATATTTCAATGAGCAAATATTTTTGTATTCTGGGAGGGACACCCTGGAGATTTCAAAGGTAGTAGTAGTCGTCTTCTTCTTCCTCTTCCCTTTTTTTTCTTTCTTTTTTTTTATTTTTGTACTGGGGATTGAACCTGGGGGCACTTAACCACTGAGCCACATCCCCAACCCTTTTTATATTTTATTTAGAGACAGGGTCTCACTAAGTTGCTTAGAGTCTTGCTAAATTGCTCATTCTGGCTTTGAACTTACAATCCTACTTCAGCCTCCCGAGCATCGAGGATTACAAGCATGCAGCATGCTCCTGGTTCCTCTTCCCTTTTCCCTCCCATATCTCTCTCTCTCTCTCTCTCTCTCTCTCTCTCTCTCTCTCTCTCTCTCTCTCTCTCTCTTTCCAGTGGAAAGTTTCTCACCTATATAAAAATAGAATAGTATAATAAGTGCCCATGAACTATCACCTACCTTCAAAAGTTATCAGCTCACTGCAAATAACATTCCATCTACATACCCCATCCACTCCTCCCAACCCCTTCCAAAATTACTTTGAAGTAAAATATTTCCTTAAGGCTAGTGGTAATATTTTGTGTCTGAATCTGGATGGGGGTATACCTGTCTTCTTTTTACTATTATTTTTTATATATTTAAGCTGTGCATATATTTTATATTCATTTTTGCATGTGTATTCATTATAAAACAATTGAAATGCTCATTTAAAACCTGTATGGATATTCTGGAATTATCCTCCAAAAACACTGCACCATTTTATACTTCCTCCTGCCTGGCCCCATATTCTCACGATGACAGATATTATCTGGCTTTAATAATTTGACCATCTGACGGGGGTGATGCCACCAGTGTTTTGTTGGAAGTCCTTTACTGTGATGACCAGTGCGGGTCTGAGTGTGAGTCTTTCCCACTGGTCCTGCAGGGTACTCTGTGGGCCTTCAACATGAAGGCTAAGTTTGCGTTCACCTCTGGGAACATGGCTTCCATGAAGTCTTATTTTCTTTCCTTTCCTGTCTCTGTTCTTTCTTCTGAAAGGACCTTGTATTAACCAGAATGTTTACAGATTGCAGGTGATAGAGCCGCAGGCAAGGAAGAAAAAGCATCCCTGCCTTGCCATCCCAAGGGCCAAAACTCTTCCCTTTGTTGGCTCTTCTGCTTTCTCCCATCCTCTACCCTTCTTCCCCCTTGCAACCTCTATCCCAGTCCCAACCCTCAACTCTGCTTCTCTCTCTGGGCCTTTCCCTCCTCTGTTGGTGAGGGCCCTTAGCCACTCTGCTTGGGGAGGCGGTCCTTAGAGCCTGGGCTCCCTCTGTGAAAAGGGAACCTGCTTTCTCCAGAGATGGGCCCTGATGGGTCCTCTCTAGGTCGTGTTCCTCCCCTTCCCCAGGTGGGGGGGGGGTTAGGAATAGGGGTGAGAGGTGGGCATCTGTCTCCAGAAGAAGAGAGAGTGGGAAAGCTTGCTGAGCTCCCACAACCCGCTCAACACCTGCTGGAAACTTGCAGCATGATTTTAACTGGATTTCTTATATTTCCATTTTTTCAATGGTATTGCTCCTCACTCAGGGAAGGTGCCCTTGGCCTTGTGACTCACTCTTTCTGCCTTTGGTGATATGCCTTTCTTTGGAAATCATACTTTTTTTTTGTATTTATACTTTTATTTATTTATTGGTTATTCAAAACATTACAAAGATTGCAGAATCACATTGGTTACACATCCACATTTTTACATAATGCCATAATAGTAACTGTTGTATTCTGCTACCTTTCCTATCCTCTACTATCCCCCCTCCCCTCCCCTCCCATCTTCTCTCTCTACCCCATCTACTGTAATTCATTTCTCTCTTTGTTTATTTTCCCATTCCCCTCACAACCTCTTATATGTAATTTTGTATAACAATGAGGGTCTCCTTCCATTTCCATGAAATTTCCCTTTTCTCTCCCTTTCCCTCCCACCTCATGACTCTATTTAATGTTAATCTTTGGGAATCATACTTTTAAATTTTAGGTTTTGGGGGTTGGTGTTTTTTTGTTTTGTTTTGTTTTTGTTTTTGTTTTTGGTACTAGGGATTGAACTCGGGGGCACTTAACCACTGAGCCACATTTTATTTAGAGACAGGGTCTCACCAAGTAGCTTAGGGCCTGGCTGATTTGCCGAGGCTAGCTTTGAACTCACAATCTTCCTGCCTCAGCATCCAGACCTGCTAGGATTGATTACCAGCATGGGCCATGGAGCCTGGCTCTGGGGTGGTTCTTTTTGATAGATATGTGTTAGCGTCTTGCACATACAAAGCCTCTCACATCCCCCCAAGGAATCTGATTTCCCTTTTCTTGGGTGTTTGTCTGGAGACCTTCTCCCTTCGTGTTTTAGTTTTCTTCTACATCTGGCAATCGTTGGCTGTCCACTACTTTTTCTGAATGGAGGATCTAGTTGATTTGCACACAGAACTGGTGACATCAGTTTCCTCTCAGTAAGTGGGTGTAGGAATGGCAAGCGCCCCTCTTCCAAGGAGTGGAGAGTAGGTGAGCGTGTTGCCCCAGAGCACACCATAACCCCAATCCCCTGAGAGGAAGAGGCCTTTGGAGGAAGCAGCCAAGACCGCAGAGGAAGCCCATGTTGGGCAGCTACACAAACCTATCCATCGCTTCCTTCATAAATAGCAATGAAGGGCTGGGAACAATTTGATTGTTTTTCCTCCAGGACAGCTGAGAGATCCAGGGGTATTGGGGACTCTCTCCAGCGCACACCCATGTTCTCCAGGAGTGGCAAGTACTACAGCCCAGTCTTCCATATGTGGCCTGAGCTCCAGGCCCAAGGAGACCAAGCTGATCAAGCTCCCAACCCTCCTTGTGTGTTCCCAGTTCTTTCCCCATGGCCCACTCCTGCCCTTTGACTCTTGTCATTGACAGTGTCAGCACTTCTCTTCACCTGCACAGGACCTTCATTCTAGGGGTTTTAGGAAGCAGTATTGTTCTCTTCTGTTGTATCAGTTAATCTGATCACATCTTGTTCTCCTTTTCTGCTCCTTATCCTCCTTTTTTCCATGGAATGGCGTTACATTTACCCCTTTCTTTCAGTGCTGGTGCTGGGTATTGAACTCGGGGCTTCCCTTCTGCTAAGCACGTGCCCACACCCCCAATCTCTTTACCCGTCTTTGTGAGCTTTCGCAGATGGTCCCTGTGCTGGATATCATAGCTGCCCGTCCTGACCGTTCTCCATTCTCCGTGCTGCTCTCTGGTCCTCCACATCCTTAATCACTTGAGATTCTCTTTCTGGTGGCAGTCATCCTAGCATGAGAGGTGTATTTCCCTGAGGATTTAATTTGCATTTCCCTTTGGCCAGTGAACTGTGCTGAGCATCTGTTCATATACTCATAGGTCATCTGTGTCAATTTTGCACTATATTTTTGCATACAGTGCAAAAAATGGGCCCAATTTTATTCCTTTCCATGAAGTTAACCCATTATCCCAGTACCATTTCTTAAAAACACTATTCTTTACCCACTGAATTGTTTTGACACACCCCAAAAAAATCAACTGATGGACGTGTGAGGGTTTTATTTCTGGATTCTCCATTCTGTTTCACTGAACCACATGTCTGTCCTCGTGCCAGGTGCCACAGTGTGGATCACTGTGGCCTTGTAGTAAATCTGAAAACTGGGAAATATGAATTCTCCAACTTTTTTCTTTTTCAGGATTGTTTTAGCCATTCTGGATTCTTTGAATTTTCATATGATTTTATGACATCTCCATATAAATCAGTTGACTAATTTCTGTGAAAAGCCAGCTGTGGTTTCCGTAAGGGAGTGAGTAGCATCTGTAGGTCGATTTGGGGAGTGTCATCATCTTGGCAGTGTTCTCCATGAGTATTAAATGTCTTTCCACTTATGTTCTTTTTCATTTAGTTCTATGATATTTCATTGTTTTCAATTATTATATTTCTTTTATGAAATTATTTATAAATATTTTATGCTTTTTGATGCTTTTGGAAGTAGAACTATTTTCTTAACTTTGATTTCTGGTTGTTCATCACTCCTGCATAGAAACACAAATGTTCTTGCATGTTGGTCATGTATCCTGCAACCAGGCTGATCTCATTTATTCGCTCTAATATTGTTCTAAAGAGAAGGACATGTTATTTGCATAGAGATAATTTATTCTATTATTTCTTCTTTGGATTTTATTTGCTCTTTCTCTAGTTTCTTAGGTGGGAGCTGAGGCTTTTGTTTTTTTTTAATATTGGCATTCATAAATATAAATTTACCTTTGAGCATTGCTTTAGCTGCATCCTATAAGCTTTGAGATGTTGTGTTTTCAATTTCATTGACATAAAAATATTTTCTAATTTCTCTTGTGATTTTTTTCTACTTGACCCTAAATTTTTTACTTTATTTATAAGTGTGTTAATTTACAGATATATTTGTTTCTCTAATTTCTTTTTGTTGTTGATGTCTAACTGAATTGTTGTTATTGGAGAATATACTTTATATCATTACAGTCCTTTAAAGCTCACTGAAGCTCGTTTTATGAGCTATCTTGTCTTTCATTCTGGAAATGTTTTATATGCCCTAAAGAACATATGTATTCTGGCCAGGCGTGGTAGCACACACCTGTAATCCTAGTGACTTGGGAGGCTGAGGCCAGAGGATCTCGAGATCAAAGCCAGCTTCAGCAAAAAGTTAGGTGCCAAGCAACTCAGTGAGACCCTGTCTTGAAATGAATTACAAAATAGGGCTCAGTATGTGGCTTAGTGATCAAGTGCCTCTGAAATCCCTAGTTACCTCCCCTGCCAAAAAAAGAATCATATGTATTCTGCTGCTGTCGGACAAAGTACTGTGTATGTCTGTTGGGTTGTTTGGTTAATTGTACTGTTTAACTCTTTCCTTCCTTTGTAAAATTATTTTCATACAAACTTCATTTTCATATACTAAAGTTCCACCAACACAGTTTTACAGTTTCTGGCTTATATAATTGTCTTTTAAATCAGAAGGAAAGAATTTCAATAAAATAACATTTATTTTGCCCTTTATATTTACCTACATTTTATATAATGCAGTTGTATCAGTCAGGGTTCCACTAGAAATTTATTGCAAGGGTTTGGCTTATGTGACTGATTGGCCAGGCAATTCCAGAATCCATAGGGCTGGCCTGCAGGAAGCAGGAGCTGAGGCTGCTTAGCACACAAGGAATGTCTTTCTTTGGGTAATTTCATTTCAACTGATTAACTCAGGCCCAGCCAGATTATCTAGGATAATCATCTTTGCTTACCCTGGACTGACTCTGAATGTTAATCATGCTGGCAAAATACCTTCAGATGTCCATCCAGGCAGAACACCTGTTTGTTGAGCTCCTGCTCTCACCACAAGAAAAAAATTGAACAAACTGAAAATCATTGACTTCTTAGATCCATCAGAGAATTGAGGTCATAGGATACATTGCAATCCCCAAATCTGGGGAGAGAGACTAATACAGAATACACATCAGTTAACCTGAAGCAGAAGCTACTGGGGCCATCAATGGAAGGAATGCTTAAAAAAAGTAGCTTCAGCAAATTCTGGAGCTGAATGTAGACTAGCTATAGGTAGAAACTTGGAGGTGCACTAGGTTATCATGGTGGAAACTGGAAAAATTCTCTTGTTTTGCCAGAGTAGGGTGGGGAGACAAAGTGACCATTCTGGAAAAATAACCACATTAAAATAAACCTAAATTATTCTCCATATAATTTTTCTTACATCTCAGCATTTCAATTTGGAGTAATTATAAACAGTATTGTATTTTCACTCAATTCCATGTGTTCATTATGTATGTAAAAGCATGATTTGATTTTTGTGCTTTGATCTTATCCCCTATAACTTTGCTGAACTTAGTTCTAGAAGTTCTTAAAATATAGACTCCTCAGAATTTTCTGCATAGACCATCATGTCAACTGTATATAGGGGCAGTTTTATTTCTTCTGTCTCCTGGTGTTCCAGCTACCTTCCTGTGTATGCTGAGGTACAGGAGCCCCACGTATACCTGAAGAGCAGCCAGGTGGAGGTCAGCAACCTCTACATGGGGGTGTCCACAAAGTCAACCATCACGCTCGTCAACGGCACACTCCTGTTCACGCGGTTTCACTGGGGCAAGGTGAGTGAGCCTGTACCATCCAGGAGCAGTCTGCAGCCCTCAGCAACAGAGACCTATGTGGCCCCCCAAATCCCTCCCATAGCATCTGTTCAGCCTCTCTCCCTACCACAGCCTGTCCATAACTCCATAGAGCCCAGAAAAGCTTGGCTCCTCAGAGGAGCGGCCCATCTGGTCTGGCTTTGGTCCTGCCTTTAGGGAATTCCAATTCCTGCCTGAGAAGGAGTTTCTGGTGAACACAGAGCCTTCCAGTTAGCAGAGTGTGTGGCTGGCCCACACAGCTGTCAGGAGCCCAACTGTGGTTCTGCCCCATGGCTCTGAGATCTGTGGAAGATGGAGCCACATCCTTGTATATCAAAGGCGATTGCCTTCTGCTCCCCAACTCTCTGGGCCTCTCAGGGTAGCTCATTTAGTCTGTGCAACCCACTGACAGATGGTGAAGTCCCTCCAGGGTTGGGGAGGACAGAAGGAACCTTGGGACCTACTGTTGGTCTGAGTCTCAGCCAGCAGTGATCATGCTGTCTGGACTCGGGTTCCTCTGGGAGCCTCACACAACAGGGCCACCCGTGTGTCCACCAGCTCTTAGGGCACCAAGCAGCCTTCTGCACAGCAACAGTCTCTCCCAAACGTGGCCTGCTGGGCCCCAGTGAGGAGCGCCTGCTCAACTTGGAGTTGACCGTGCATACCACGGTGAGTACAGTGATATGAGAACCTGAGTGACTAAGACACCTGTCAACAGGTTGTGCTTGTGCCTCAGGGAGGTCCTGCCCCTGGCTCCTGGTCCTTGTGGGTAGGGAAGGGATTTTTTGCATTTGGGTGTAGGATCCCCATTCAAGCTGGGCCAACTTTCTAAGAACACAAGGTCAGAGAGCCTGGATGTTCTCTGAGACCCTCTGGCCCTTTTGGCACCAGCTTTAGCTTTCTCCAGACCATTCTTTGTGGCTGGGGGGTGGGGGGCGGTCCAGCTTTCCAGTTGGCCCAGAGACCTAAGGCAGAGGTGCTGTTCAAGGCAGACACTGTGCCAGATGCTGCTGAAGGAGGTGACTGGTAGCCAGGGTCAGCCCGGGGGAGGCACAGCTTTTCTCTGGAGGGGCCCAGAGGGAGACCATCTGGGTGAACATTGGTGCTTGAGCATTGTTGGATATTGCTGCACGGTTCTTGTTGGGGAAATAATTTCTTCCTTGCAAAGACTTGCAGAATCAGGTCTCAGTTTTTCGCTGGTAAACATGGGACAGTGAGCTTTCCTACACAGCTGATCCTGAGCTTCAGGATGAGACAGACCCAGGCTTAGCATGGTGCAGATCCCACTCAGGAAGTCTATTATAGTAGCAGCATCATAAAGAATGTGCAGCTCTCCAAAAGTCACTCTGAAAGGTTTTCCTTTATATGGACATGCACAGATGTTTCAGGAAGACTCAGCATGAACCTTGGGGATGGGGCCAGGCCTCTGGGGACAGGATGTGGGCCTACCGGCTGGGCTTACTAAAAGCACTCAAGAGCCCTTTCTTAGAGATGAGTCCAGACAAAGGTCAAGGCCTTCATGTTGGGCCACTCACAGAAACCACCTCTGCTGTGGAAGACCATCTGGACCCACCTCTGAAGCCCTGGGTCTGACTGAGCCCTGGATGGGTTTTCTTGTAGGAAGAATTGACAGATCTGGCTCTTCCTTGTTATGTGTCAGGAATGAAAAAGCCACTGGTCTTAGGTATCTCTGGGAAGCCCCAGGGACTGGAAGTGACCATCACGGTCTCCGTGGAGGGTTCTGATATCAGGTGAGCCCAGGGTGAGAGCAGCTTTACAAAGAACTGGCAATGTACTGAGAGTCCACTCCCACCTGATTCCTACCACTGGGAAGAGGCCATAGAGTTGTGATGGGCCCTGACCACTTGCTTCTGCAGGAGCAGACCCTTTACCCCACCCCTGTCCTCTGTGTGTCCAGGGCTACAGGCTCCTTGGGCTTTCCCATATGAGGCCCAGCAACCTAGAGACATGCCAGTCTGCCCCTAGCCAGGGACTGCCTAACAGAGTTCCAGGCCTCTGTTAGCATGGTGGGCAGACAGGAAGGCGGGGTCTGGGGGTTCCAGCTCCATGAGGAGGGGGTCGAAGATGAAGCCAGGTTTCTGGGCAGCTCCTGCACCCCTACCTAGGGTGGTTCCCTGAGTAGCTCCAAAGACCGCAGATAACATAGTGCCCATGGACATGGGGCAATGTTTTCAGGACAAAGCAGTGGCCGGGCCACCTGGAGGAGCTCCACCTAGACTTTGGATCAATGGTGCCACTGAGGACCCGTGTGAATGGCCAGATCATTCTGACCAATTGCTCCCCAATGCAGACCTCTTTCACTCTCAATTTTGACTACTTTGGGAGCCCCCCAAACAGCCTGAGCAAAAGCATCAGCCTGTAAGTCTTGTTTCCTTTGGAGGCTGTCCCCAGGGTGGGTGTGCGTAGGTGGAGTTTACCCCCTTTGTGGCTTAGGTGGCAAGAGGGTGACTGGTGTAGAAGGGGGCATCTGTGACTTTGCAGGGAGATATAGGGAAACAGGAGATGGCTTTTTGCTACTCACTTCTTCAATATTGACTGGGCCTGTGGGAAAGGCTGGGATGTGCCTCCTCCTCCTCAGCCTGGCCTGCTGACATGGCAGGCTTTTGAGATGAGGCAGGAGAGGCCACTGAATGAGGGAGAATTTTCTATGGATAGAAAGAACCAGGCAAAGATGTGGGAGTGATGACTCAAGAATGGGGAGTTTCTGGGGACATTGGATGGTGTGGCTGGGCTGATGTGGAGAAGTAAGCTGGGGAGGATGTCCAGGAGGGAAGACAAAAGGTCAGCAGAGACACTGGTCAAGGGTAGAAGCAAGACATGGAGCACTGCACCACAGATATTGGCCAAAACTACATTTTAGGACATCTTTTTTGGAGGCAGTTTGCCAGCACACACCTATGTGAGACCTCACTGCCTCATCTCTTAAAACCACTGCCATGTGCAGGAGGGAGAGTCATAAGCAGTGGATAATCCATCAGCTCTCTGCTCCAAAGGGTTAGTGTGCATCCAGCACTGGACAGAGGTCGACAGGGTGCACTGGAAATGGGTCTGTTGCAGAAGTTTGGGCAAGAGGGGGAACATTGGGATGGGTTTGCATCCTAGGTAACTAGGGCACAGCCTGGGACAAGGGATCCCTGCCCTAGAGCCCTCCTGGATTTCTTAGGGGATGATCTGTATGACTTGGGGAGTGGCCTGCAGCTGGGGATACTTTGGATGATAGAGGTGTAGTGGGGGCAAAGACCAGAGAGAGGTGAAGAAGAGACCTGACCAGCTTTTCCCTGGGAAAAGCAGGCAGTGCCACCTTCCTCTGCTGGATGCAATACTGTTTTCCATGGGGGCATGGCTCAGGTCCTGGGAAAGGCTTAGCTGTTTTGATGCCAAGTTTTTTGTTTTTTGCGTTTTTGTTGCCTCCATTTATAAAGCCCCGACTTGCCTCCTGCCCTGCTAAAGTCGGCGCGGATCCGAGAGCACTTGACCAAAAAAGAGCAGCTGGGTAAGAGCCACCAGGGTGGGGGGTGAGGGCTACGGGCTACGGGCTGCGGGCTGATGCCTGGCCAGAGTGGAGTTTCACCTGGCCTTCTGAGGATGTAGGCCAGCAGCTGCCAGAGAAGAAAACCAGGACTAGCGACCTCCTCCTCAGTATCTTTCCTAGCTAGGTCCTCAAGATGGCCATGGCTTTTCACATGACAATCTCCTACTCTTGAATGAGGTCATTTCCTTGGTAGGGCATAACCTCATGCACAGGACTTGAACTTGATTTGGGCTGCATAGTGGCTCATAAAGGAGGGCTGTTGATGAGCTCTGGACTCTCGGGAGAGAAGAGAGTTAGCCAGGCAGGACCCCAAGCTACTGGTACCTGAGCTAGCCTCCTGACCACAGAGAGGCTGTGGGGTGGCTGGTCAGGGGGAGTGCATTGGTAACTCCTGAGGGTTTGGACCTCACTCTCAACCCCAGGCTCCTGAGCCCTCATTCCTGATTCTCCCCCAGATTTTATGGAAAGCATGTTATCTTATGGGAGAGGAGTTGCATTCTTCCCCCACACTTCCAAGGGTGTGTTGGAGGCTTTCCAGCAGCTGAGCATTGACATCACAGGCTGTGCCAACATGTGGGGCGAGTACTGGGACAGCCTTATTTGCAAGGTAAGGACACACAGGCGGGCACACCCCTCTGACTTCCCTTTCTCCAACACCCAGTCCTCAGCCTCTCAAAGTTCACCAAGTTACAAGGTGATCCTACTGATCCTGGGATACCTGCCACAACTTCTGGGATGGAGGCTGGGATGTTCTAGGCAGGAGGGGTCCTCATGAGCAGTAGAACCTTCTGCACTTTTCCCCTTGAGGTGCAGAGCTGGGACCACAGTAAGGACAGAAATTAGCAGGCTATGCCATGACCCGAGACCTAGAGAAGGGAGTAAGAAATAGAGGGAATAACAGCCTCCCTTGCCTAGCTTTCTGTGCATTCCATTATTACCCCATGGGTCATTCATTTGCTCCTTCACTCAGCACACATGGAGCTCCTACTGTGTACAGGTTCCTGTGCAGTCCTTAATACTAGGGGAGATACAATGATGAAATCAATGACCAGCCAGGAGATAAGGCCTGCAAGGAGCCCCCTGGTTTACCATGGCAGGGTAAAACACACATACATTATCCTATACACCATTCTGATGTTGCATAGATTTTTGTGAACTCTTTAGTAAGTTAAACAGGCTAATTATAGTAGATATTTGCTTTAAGTTGCTTGTATCATGTATGACAAATGGTCGCTTATGTTAATACATAGTTACTAAATAACAGTAAGGGGAAAATAAAGTATTGCAAGTAGCAAAGGGTTTGAATAGGTGATTCAAAGAAAGACAAGTCCAAATAGCTAATACTTATATAAAAAAAAGTCATCACTAGTAGTTAAATAAATGTAAAGTACAATAACCACAAAATACTGGTTTGTGTCAGATTAGCAAGGTTTGAAAGCTATTGGTGAGGTATGGGGAAAGGGAACGTCTTAGCCTGGTGGGTCCAGAGGTAGGGAATGCCTCCGGCCTTTGGGAGCACTTGGGGCTGTGCCATGTCCAAATTTAAAGGGTCTCCAAGAACACATCTGTAGATTATGTACAAATGACTTCACAATAAGCTGCTTTTCTTTTCAGCATTATTTGTAATGGCAGGGAGGAAACAAATATGGATTTGTGTCCATCTATAAAAGACTGGATAAGCCATTGGGCTGCTTCCCTACAGTGGAATTCTGCAAAGCCTAGCCTATGATATCATGAATCTGTTTTAGTAAAATTATATCATTAAGAGAAAAGAAGGTTATTAAAGAACAACCTGTCTGGCATGCTGCCCACCTGTATCTGTCTTAATGGACACAAAGGAAGGGTGGATGGATACATGCTAAGATGGTGGCAGTGAGTCCAGCAGGGGGAGAATTATGGGTGATTAGTACACTGTTTTTTCCCCAGAAATGAGCATTTATTACTTTTAAGTAACAGAGAAGAATAATGTTTTTTTCCCCTTTAAAAGTTAACAGAGATTTGTGCAGATAGAGGCTGGCAGAGCCCAGGCTGGGGCTGTCTGGGGAAGGAGTCAGTGGGAAATGAGGCTGGGCCAAGCCAGGACCAAGCTGTGGGGTGCTTGAGGTGGTTGGAGGGAATGCAGGGGCAGCTGGTAACAGGGGTGACAAAGGGTGTATTTGCAGGTGGGAGACCTGCCACCAGCAGTCATCCCAGTGCACATGGCAGTGGTGGGCTGCCCCATCAGCTCCCAGCGGACCACCTCTTACATGGCTGACAAGTCACAGAAGGAGCCCATCATCAGGTGCCCTACCCTTGCCCTGATCCTCTGCTCCCTGGTGGTTCCCCAAACTCTCCAACCTCCAGCTTGGGCTTCCCATCTACCTCAGTGTTCTCCATATGGCCTAAAGCTACCTGGTGCCACCTACAAGGGGTCCCAGGTTAGGTTATTCCTGGGGGAAAAGAGGCCTTAGGAGACGTGGCCACCACTTTTGGGTCTCTGAGGGGCTTTGGGTTGAGGGGCAGAAGTAGTGAGTAGTCCGTGTAACTCAAGGTCAGTACCAGACCTGGGGCTGCTCAAACAGATGAGCTGGGATCAGCATAATTCAGGGGACAGGGAATGGATTTTCAGAGCAGTGAGCTGCCCCAGGTTACAGACCCTCAACCAGTGCACAGGGAAGGCCTCCAGCCCTGGGTCTCAGTGTCACCAAGGTGAGGACAGACCACTGTGGATCTCCTGGTCCTTATCTCGCACTTCTCTCTGCAGTATTCCTGCCTGCCAGGTGTATGCCGGCTGTGGCTTGTTCAGTCCTATCTCTTGCCTCCAGGTTTGGGACCCAGGTCTCTGGAGGAGACACAATCACACGGAAACTTCGCCTGAATAACTCCAGCCCCTGTGGTGAGATGATTGTGAGATAAATTGGGGAGGTGCTCTTGGAAGCTGATGGCCCCAAACAGGATGTGGGGGCCTGTGGTTACCGGGGGAGGTCCACAGGGATCAAGAGGGAGAGTTGACCATGGCAGTCCAGGGTTGCCAGAGAGTGCCTCTCCCATCATCGAGTACGGGATCTGCTCTTGTCTAGCCTTGGGTCTCCTAGTATCAAAGGAGCCACAGAGCCTTGCTGTCATCAGGGTTGCTGGGCCTAGGGCTACTTCCAGGGGACCCCGTTGCTCATTCCTTCAGCCGGCAGGACCTGCACTCTATCCAGGATCTGAGCAAGAAGTTGGGGATACAAAAGGCACAAGACAGCAGGGTCTCTGCCTAGGGTCCCGTCCTGTGGGTGTGACTGTGCATGGAGGCTAGTGCCTGAGGATCAAGGGGCCTGCATGTCCCCTAGGAGGGGCACTTAGGCTGAGTCTGGAGGGAAAATAAGCCAGCATTGCTTGGGGCAGTGAGTGATGACAGAGTATTCTGTGCTACCAGAAGAGCTATGGGCAGCTCAGAGACTTGAGGGAGACAGCAGGATCAGCCTGGCCTCAGTGAGTCCCCTGGGGAGGCATCCCCAGGCTGACCCCCCTGGGCAGAATGAGCCCGTGTCAGGTGGCAGGACTTGCCACTATCATAGCTAAGCTGCCCAGGCAATCTCAGGAAGGCATGGCCACAGGAGAGGGCCCTGCTCTAGGACAGATCTCTGCAGTTCTGGAAGTGTTGGCAGTCTCTCCTCTCCCCACATTCTAAGTCAATGTCTCCTTGTATTCTCAGTTGTTTTTCTTTATGCTTTTAGCTGCTATATTGGTTGGTGCATTTAGACACTGGATATTCTTCTCAAATTGAGTCTTGTCATTTGTATTGTTCCTCTGACTCCTTTATGGAACACTGCTGGCTAAATTCCATGTTACTTTCTTTTGCTCTCCTTGGTGTCTTCTCATAGGCATTTACCTGGGGTTTCCTTGCCCACTCTTCCATTGTCACCCTTTATGACTTTGTTTCTGGTGAACAGTAGACAGCTGAGGTGTTTTTTTTTTTTTTTAAACACCCTGACATTCTCAATGTTTGAATGGGAAAAGTTAGTCAATCCATATAATTCTTCCATCTCATTTTAAGATTTATTTTGCTTTCTATTTGTTTTTCAGTTCCTTTTTTTTTTTTTTGTGGCCTTTGTCTATCTTCCCTCTTTACTTTGGGCTTTCTTTTCAGCTTCCCTTCCCTCTGGTGGTTCCTCCCTTTCCTTGGGCTCATAATCACGTGCACATTTTTCTATTTCTACCTGGAAGATTGTCCACTGGACTTCAGAGTTGTGGTGTTCTTGGTAAGAGGCAGGTGCTAAGTTGATAGTAAACATAAGAAACAAGCTCAGGAGCCTTGGGTGTGTGTCCACTGGGTATTCACCAGGGCCCAACCCAGTGTCTAGCATTATAAGTTCTAATAAATCAAATGCTAATGGGGAATGGGTGAGAGATGAGAGGGAGGAGGTGGCAGTGTGGGTAATTGGTCTTATCAGCTTTCTGTGAAGGGGAAAAGGGGGAACTGAGGAGGGGGGCTGCCAGAGGGAAGCTTGTTCATGATGGTGGACCTGAACTTGTTTCAGTGCTGTCAAAAAAATAGCAAGATGTAGAGCTGGGCACAGTGGCATACGCCTGTAATCCCAGCAACTCAAGAGGCTGAGGCAGGAGGATCGTGAGTGCAAACCCAGCCTCAGCAAGAGCAAGGTGCTAAGCAACTCAGTGAGACCCTGTATCTAAATAAAATACAAAATAGGGCTGGGGATGTGGCTCAGTGCCGATGAGTTTGGTTATACAGAGGAGAGGGGGTACTGGACATGGCAGGCCCCTAAGAAAGGGGGTCAGGGGTAGGGCTGAAGGCAGGAAGAGGGGAGGATGGGACAGAGGCAGATAGACACGTAATGTGGGAACAGGTCTTCAGGGAACTTCTGGGAGATGAGGTAGGGCATCAGGGATGCAGATGGAAGTGTTAGGGACATCTTGATATTGTCATGGTTGGGAAGGAAGGCAATGTGGGGACCCAGTTTAGGTTGGGGACAAATCTACACAAGTGGCAATCTCTTTAGCTTAGAGACTTTCTCCATCGTGCCCAAGAGAACGGTGCAGTGCAGTTCATTGAGGGCTGGGCTAGGTGAGTGGGAGGATGGGGGAGCAAAGGAAGACATGAGGTTGCCAGCAAGGCAGAGGCTGAATGGAGGCCCCCAGAGACTAACCTGGCCGGGGAAGGAAGTAACAGCAAACATAGGCTGAGAGTCGGGGAGGGAGAGAAGGTAGAGGACACGGGGGTTGGAGGGCCCATCCTGACAGCAAACAGGCCAGAGAGAGAGGAAGCCGTGGTGAGAGCGGAGTGTCATACAGGTGGAGCTGGAAGTGTGGTCGTGAAGGCTTCAGATGATTGGACCAGATGGCATAAGTCTGTAAAGGCTATTTTTTTTAAAACAAGAATTGCCTGAAGGTGGCATTAGAAAGACAGTGAGGCCCCCTCCACCATGGGCATGGGAGAACAGAAAGGTGGAGGCCCCAAGGAGACCATCGGCGCCTCCCTTATTCCTTGCCCTCTCCCTATGTGTGCCCTAGACATTCGCCTAGACTGGGTCACCTATGTTCCAGAAGATAAGGAGGATAAGCTGGTGGACCTGCTAGTGTTTTATGGACCACCATTCCCACTGCGGGATCAAGCTGGAAATGAGATTGTGTACCCTGAGACCCCCGAGAGCAGCAGCTTACCCTGGTCCCCAAGCCCCTCCAGCATGTCCGAGTCCAGCCATGCAGCTGCTTTTCCAGTGAGCAGGGCTGTGGGGGCAGGGGAGCTGGCCACTCAGGGTTGCTGAGATACAGCCCAGGGGCCTGCTGAGCCTGTATAAGCTTCAGCTACTCTTGGTGACAGGTAGAGGCCTACTCCAATGCCAGCAACAGGGCTGCAGCACAGATCATCTCAGTTGTCCTGCAGGAGCATGAGGGGGTGCCCTCCGACCTCCCCTACTGTATCAGACCCCAGCAGGTGGTGAGTCCAGGTGGACCTGTCTCTGGGGGTCTGCCCTGGCCTCCCAGCAGGCACAGGGCAGTGCTGAGGCTGCTGTGTCCATGCCAGGTGGTCCCTGCTGGGGGAAGTAGCACCATCTACATCTCCTTCACACCTCCGGTGCTCAGCTCCGACATCCAGCAGAAGGTGGAGTGTACTGGCTACGCCCTGGGTTTCATGAGCTTGGACAATGAGGTGAACGTCCTGGGGTGGGGACCATAGACACTGCCTCTCTCCTGGGTGGCACAGTGCTGTTCAGTCCAGGGACCACCAGGGTGATCAACGGTTGATTGGGCTCTGTAGGTAGAAAGAGAGATTCCCGGGAGGAGGCGTCGACTGCAGCACTTTGCTGTGGAACCCCTGAGACTGGACCTGCATGGGCACGTGAGGCGTGCGCAGTGAGTGCTGGGTGGTCCCCTCTCCATCCCCCTATGGGGACACCTTCACCATCTCTGGTGAGGCCAGTCAGGGTTATTGGAGTCAAAGGACAAAACTAATTCTTGGGCTCCTAGAGTAGAACACTCCATGAGAAAGCTTCCACCAGGCTGACCCACCTCCTGCTGGGGGCTGAGGGGAGGAGAATCCAGCAGGGAAGCCCAGAGAAAGGCTGGCTAGAGACCAAGTGAGCAGAGGGGACAGCCAGGAGGCCCCAGATGCCTGGCTGCCCCAGCAGTGTCTATCGCTGGGCAGACTAAGCGTGGAGCTGGACAGCAGCGGCAACTTGGAGTTCTGGTGCCAGGCCAGCGACCTCATCCCCGAGCAGCCCTGCTCTGCAGTAAGTGCTGCTTCCCCGCCCCTGGCCCTGCCAATTGACCTGAACCTCCAAGGTACCTAGGGGCCCTGCTGGGGCACAGGCCTTCTGTCCTGAATCCCCTCCCCAGAGCCACAGGACTGAGAGGGTGAGATGAACCCCAGCTCCCCTCTTCTGTGGCCACCCAGGTGCTGAGTGAGCTGCTGACCACCCGCCACCTGAAGCTGATCAACACTACAGAAATACCACAGTACTTCTGGCTTCTGGTCTCCAGGCCCTTCTTTGTTTCTCAAGGCCAGGCTCCTTGGGACCACAGAGCTGGCTCTGGCCAGGAGCACGAGTCTGAGGAGACAGCTGCAGGGAGCAAGCAGATGGAGCTCCGGCCACAGGAGAACATGCTGGTCAGTAGAGGAGTGCGTGGCTCTGGTCTCTCTGTACATGCTCACACTGCCCAGACAGCACCTGCACACCATCCCAGGCACACACACTCTGCAGAGGGGGCTTTCACATGTGTGGAGGGACTGGTCAGAGTGTACCGGCCACACAAGTTCTACAGTCTCACCCAGGCCTCCCCCACTGCCTGGTGGGGGCCCATGCGTTCCTCCTCCCCTTCACACTCAGACTCCCTTCTCATATGCCCTCACTCAAGGGTTTGTGCCCCCCAAGAACCTTCTCCCAGAGGTAGAGGAGCCAGACACAGATCTGCAAAATGGTGGGTAAGCTCCTATATCATTTTGCCTTGGTTCCTCCTTCTGGGGCTACATGGAGGGGAGAAGGGGAGACCAGAGCACAGCTAGAGGTCCCTTTTGCTGGGGTTCCCCCAAGAGACTCTGGGTTTAGGTATTTTAAACCCTCGGGCAGCTTGGAGGAGGCCCCATGGCTCCCAGGGAAAAGACATCACATGGTGGCACTGCCCTTCACCCTCTGTGTGTAGATAATGCTCGGGCATCTGGCTCCGGACCAGAACTCTCCTCTCAGTTTTAGACCCAAACTCAGACTGTAAAACTGAATTCCTCATAACCCTCCAGACCCTGTCCTGCTCCAAACATGTGCCTTCTCATCTCAGCAAATACTACCTGCCCCCTAGTGCCTAGATCAGAGCTCTGTCTCCTCCTCCTCAAACCAACTGCCAAGCCCCTTGGATGCCCCTAACTCTCGGTGCTTCTCACTTGTCCACACCTCTACATGCATGTGTTGTTCTATAACAATTATTTCCAAGCCTAGCAGTACATCAATGGCCTTTAGAAATCTTGTTAAACATACAAGCTCTCAGGCTCTACTTTCAGAGATGTCACGATCTCAGCTAAGACCCAAGAATCTATGTGTAACAAATGCCTCAGTCAATGCTTATGAGCTAGCACATGGAACTATCTGGGAGCCAGGAGTCCAAGCCCCATCCTGTTGGCCCAAGTTCGGTCTCAGCCACCTGACTGCTGTCCTCAGCCACTTATGTTCCTGCAGCCCACCTCCCACTAGCAGCCAGAGTGACCTTGTGGAAGGCAAAGCTGACTTGGACACACCCCTGCTTCAAACCCATTACATGCCCCTCACTATCCTCAGGATAAAGGCAAAGTCCTTCCTTGGTCTACAGATGGCCAGAACCCAGCTCTGATCAAGGGCAGTTTGCTTATTGTCCTTCTACTCTAGCCTCTGACTGTGGAGGGCACCAACAGGGTGCTGGGCACAGCACTGGTACAGGGAATAGATGTGCCAGGGAGGGGTGCTGTGAAGCTGTTTGTTGGGAAGCCTGGGTCAGTCTGGGCCCTGTAGGCTGCAGGGACGTTGTTGGGCCTTCAGAGGCTTGGGGGAGCCAGTGCCTGTCCATGTCCATACAGGTGGATGTGTCCTTCTCACTCTCCCTGGAGCTGCTCTCCTACCAGAAGCTCCCGACCGACCAGATGCTACCTGGAGTGGATATCCAGCAGAGCACAAGTGGAGAGAAAGAGATGGTGTTTACTCAGGATCTGCTCCTGGAGTTCACCAATCAGACCACACAGGCTAGTCCCAGGAGGGCTCCTTGAGACGGGGGGAGAGTAAGACTAGCTGAGAGCTATTCCCTAGAGTGAGGAAGATATCACCAGGCAGGGCCTTCATATGAGGAGTCCTGGCCCCTGTCCTGAGGACACAGTCTGCCTGGAAGAGGCCCTGTGCAAGGAGAGTCCTCATCCTCACCTGTTTCAGGAGCTGAGTCAGGTGAGGGGCTGGAGGATGGGAAATGAGGGAAGGCTCCCTGGAAGAGGTGACAGGTGAAGCCTGTGAAAGGAAACCATACAGGTCAAGAAAATGGACAAGTGGGTGGGACATGAGCACCTGAGGCAGTTGTGAAGGATGACGCTCAGGCTCCATGGGGCTCCACTGGCCAGAAGGTCATGGGCCATGATGTGGAACAGAGGGGAGCAGGGAGCTGAACTGGGGCTGTGGGTCAGGTATAAGAAGGAACAGAGGCAAAGCAGGGGAGCTGGAGCACTGCTGCCCAGAGCGAAGTGGCTTGCTGGGGCTGACAGTGCAGCAGGGGTTGCTAAGGTGCCCTGGCAGGCAGGGCAGGGGTGGAGAACCTGAAGGTCAGGGCTGAGGCAGGATGGCCCAGGATCTGAGACTGAAGACTGGGGAGGGAGGAAGAGTGAAGGAAAGAGGCTGACCTCCATGGGAGCAAGGCTGGCACCAATGGAAAGGACAGCAGAGGGCACTGTTCTGGCCTGTCGCTGTGCAGAATCTCACCAGCAACTCCTGGCTTATGATGACAGTGCCAGCCCCCTGCTGCCCACTGTGCTGCTATCACTGCTCTGCTCAGAAGCGTTGGTGCTCATGGGGCATCAGGGTTCCATGTGATCCAGTGACCCTGGCTCAGACCCCACTATAATGGGCAAGGTCACTCCATTCCCATCAAGTCAAAATCTGTTCCCCAGGTTGTGCCCCTGCGGGCCATTGTGACTGTGCCTGAGCTGCAGCTGTCCAGCAGCTGGGTGGACTTTGGAACCTGCTTTGTGAACCAGCAGACATCCCGGGAGATCTACCTGATGAACCTCAGCAGCTGCCGGAGCTACTGGGCTGTGCTGATGGGTATGTTGGGCCTCACACCTGCTCACTGTTCCCAGGTGGAGCTGGGTAAAACCTATCCCTCCCACTATCTGTGTCCTGTCCCTTTAGACTGGCATTTCTGGGCTCATATCACTTGGAATTTCTAGAGACAGACAGTCCTCTAAACCTGTGACCCCAGGTTTCCCTGTCCTGGGGCATTGGCAAGACCAGAGGTGAATCTTGAGAGGATGGGCTGACCTGAGACAAGTAAAGGCTTCCAGGACAAAACACGGAGCTGCCTGTGCCCATGTGTGTCTTCCCTTCCCCTTGATGCAGGTCATCAGAGTGCCACCAAGGAGGCTAAAGACTTTGTTGTCTCCCCAAGCAGTGGGTTGCTGGAGGCACGACCCACCAATGCGCCCCCAACCTCCATCACACTTGAGGTGTTCTTCACTCCCAGGTACAGCTCCTCCCCACCTTCTGGCACTATCCACAGGGCTGGGAGGCCCTGCATATCTCAGCCCCTCCTCTTCCACAGGAGCAATGAGCTGTATGAATCCACGATGGTGGTCGAAGGCATGCTGGGAGAGAAGTCCTGTGCCCTGCGGCTCCGGGGCCAAGGCTCTTACGATGAGACATTCATGGAAACTCACCAGCTCTGAGGCTCACCCCACCCCTTAGCCCCAGACTTAGCTTAAGGAACGAGATGGCACAGGTTGATGAACAGGTTTGTGGGGCAGGGACATGGACTGAGGATTTCTAAACAGCTCTTGGGATGGAGGAGCCCCGCCCACTCTGAGGCAAAGGTCTTGCCTTAGCTTTGGGGACTTACAATGTAGTGCCTGACACAAAAGAGGTCACACCAATGTGGAGATCATAGCAGTTCAGACTCAGATGGAGAGCACAGAAGTCCCCCAGGGAAAACACAACCCACCAAGATAAGATAACACACGATTGATTATACCATTGTCCCCTCCTCATTCATGAGGCCACAGTTTCCTAGGATTTACATGGAGGCCTTGTGGTAAGGCCCAACACCCTGCCCCCTCCTGTACTGTGTCATCCATGTTCACAGTTTCCAAATTATTTAAAGTGCCTTCACCAGTGGCTGAATGTCCCACGTGGATTCGCTTCCCAAGAGCCACTCTCTGGCTGCCAGAGTAGGGCCGTCTGGGTAGCCTTGAGCCAGGGACTCAGTTCACAGGGTATTCAAAGACAGCAGCAGCTCCCATCCCAGTGCCAGTGCACATGGATACCACTCCATACGCCCTGGGAAAGGGAACTATGTTGGCTGGGCACAGGCACTCTGGGAAGAGGCCCAACCCCCTGTCCAGAGGATACAAAAAACCAGAAGACCAGATCTTGGATATTCAGTCCCCCGACTATGCACCTTGGCATCACAGTGGCAGCTGCACTCTGTAGGCCAGAAGCCCTTTCAAGGCTGACCCTCAGGGACAATAGAGATCATTCCCTATATGCCCAGTTCAAAGTACATATTGACCTCCCCAAGCTACCACCCTTTGAAGCCCCAGCTCAGCATCCCCCATGACACCCCAAGGGGAACCGCCTTACCTCTTCCCACAGCACTTTAACTCATTCAGCAGCTGATTTCCTGTCATGCCCCAGTGCAGCCCAGGGGGTGGCCTGGGGCCACTGCTCCTCCCAGAGGGTTCACCTTCTCGGGGGGGAATTCCTAGATTTTCCACACAGTAAACCACCTGGACATGCTGACCCCCTCCTCTGCATGGCTTGTCCATTGGCTCCCACTAGGTGCCCAGGGACCAGGCAATGGGAAGACTAAGATTCACCTGGCCTCACTAATCTCAAAGGTGTCCACATCATTCATTGTCAGCCCTGGAGGTGAGGTTCAGACCTGGGCAGGCATCCTCCAGGCCAGTAAGGCAGCAGCTGCCCCATCACTCACCTGGCTAGAGTTTCCTAGGGAGAAAGAGTTGGGGTGAGGAGGATCAGAGCAGAGGAGAACCAGCCCACTATGGCAGACATGCAACTTTAGCCTACTAAATGATGCCCATGAGCAGGCATCCAGGTCTTCTCAGACCTCCACCCATGCACAGGCCCACAATTGCCTAGTGTGCTGTCACATCAGACAGGTGAGTGGGTCTCAGCTACAGGTCACAAAGGCCTTGGGTATGGAATGCCAGCCCACCCCAACTTCACTCTGCAGCACTTGCAGTTCTATCCCCAGTACTCACCCCCAGCAGCAGGGCATGAGGGGACCCACGTCTAGGGTCTGAAGGAGCCACTTCTCCAAGGCTGTAGGAATGGCATATGTAGGTCCAATGTCCATGACATCAGAGGGGACTCCAACCTGCATAGGGCCTCAGGACTCCGAGGATGGGGAGGCCCAACTCTTCTGCCTTGGACCTCTGGGCCAAGAGGATGGCAGCTGCGCCATCGCTCACCTGACTAGAGTTTCCTAGGGAGAAAGAGTTGGGATGAGGAGGGATCAGAGCAGAGGAGAACCAGCCCACTGTGGCAGATATGCAACTTTAGCCTACTAAATCTGGGGACATGTCTGGTCCTACGGGACATCTGAGGGACTGGCTAGAGGTCCTCAGGAAATGCTGCCCGAGGGAGGGGAGGATGTCTGGGGCCATCCAGAGTCTTCTTTGCTATCAACCCAGGCTGCCATCAGGGGTTGCCAAAGGACCTGGTCTGCCCCAGACTCCAGAGCAGAACAGCCAGCCTAGTAGCAGTCCCTGGTGGAGCCGCTATCCTTGAAAGCAGGCTTCAGTTTGGCCAGGCCCTCCATGGTGGTGTTGGGGCGGATTCCCTCATCCTGGGACACAGTGATGTTCCTCTTGATGCCCTTGTCATCGTGGATGGTGGTGGTCACAGGCACAATCTCAGCGTGGAAACAGCCCTTGCTCTGGGCTCTTGTTGCCCTGCCAGCAGCAGGCAGCCAGGCTCTCCTGGAGCTCCCTTCCTCCTGTCCTCACTCTAGCCCATTGTGGCAGACATGCAACCTCAGCCTGCTAAATCCAGAGACATGTCTGGTCCTAGGGGACAGTGGAGAGACTGTCTAGAGGTCCTGAGGACAACCCTGTCCTGTGGGGAGAGAGCCTTGCTGTGGCCATCCAGAGCCTCCTTTGCTATTAACCCAGGGTGTCCACATCCTGGCTGATTCCAAACTTGGGAGAAGGGAGCTTGCAGGTGATTTTGCTTCTTAGAGCCCTTTGCCCAAGACTCAGCCTGTCAGTTGCCTCTGCTAGTCTGAGGCTGGAGCCCCAGGAAATTTGTGATGGCTTCTGCTAGCTTTCCAGAGTGACCCCAACATCTGAATTTCACCCTTTCCTGATTCCACAAATCTAAAGTGACACATCCTAATTTCTGTGATGTCTTTTCCAATTCAAACAGTTGAACCCTGAGGTACTTTAGGGTTACCCTTGCAGCCCTATGCAAACTATACCACCTAGGGGCATTTCAATAGTAGGAACCCAGAGCTTCCAGCAAAGCCCACAAGGCAACCTGACCCAAGAGGCTAACAGTCCCTCTCTTGGAGAAACCCACCTGGACCAGGCACAACTCCATCTTTTCTGTCCCTTCCCTCTATGGTCAATACTGGCTGATCTAGCTTGCTGTTGCCCAGAGGCTAAGCCTGACATTTTTGTGACATCAGTTCAAACCCAGGCCTACTCCAGAAGCTCGTGTGTCTAGTCCACAGAATCACTGTCCTCACACTCCAAGCCTCCAGGAAGCCTCTGGATACCATGTCCAGTCCCTAAGCCAGAGTCAGGTTGGAGTCATGGCCCTCCTTACGTTTCAAAGAACAGAGGTGGAACTGAGGCTTAGGTAGGGAGAAGGCACTCAGTCTGGGACAGTGAACGGCCACCAGTTCAGAATGGTACTGTGCCCTTTCTGTTCCCACCTAGGAGGTATGAGGCTTGCAAAACCCTCATTCACAGCTGTACCCTTGGGACAAGTCCATCTCAGAACACTCAGCATGGCCTCACAGTCTCACCTTCTAGCTCTTTCAAGGTCCCACCCCAGCAACACTCACTTCTGCTGGAAGGCCACGGCAAAAGTGTCTTGTTTCTCCCTTGAAACACCAAACCACTCAGCCACGTTCTCCGAGGTTATCCTAGGACACAAACAGCACACTAATTGGAGATGGTTTGGGGGCCAAGGCCAGGCTGTAACACTGTTTTTATACTAGGCCCATGGGACTAAAGGTGGGGAGGGCTGGTCCATGCCACAGAGACAATAGTAAGTATTCTAGAGGTGGCACTCTTTTCCCCAGCATGGGCATGGAATAGATAGGGAGTCACCCTGCTGGCCAGACTCTCTTCCAAGAGGGAGGGTAGGCTGCATGCAGGGCAGAGCAGAAGAGAGCGTGTTCCCTGGTGAGTTGCTTCAGCTGAAGAAGAGATTCAAGGGGTTTGTTGGGGCTCCCTATGGCCAGCTTCTACTAAGGTCTCCAGGTTGCCCTTGGAGGTACTATATGTGATCAATTCCAAGACACAATACAAACCTCAACCTCCTCGTACATCCATGGGAACCAGGCCTCCCTGCCCACAGGCCCTGCAGATGGCCCCAGCTCAGTGGCACTGGCTGCTGACCAAGGTGCTGGACTGATGCAGCACACATCACAGGTTGCATGTGACAGGCCCCAAGGTCCCTCACCAGCATGTTCAGGGATCAGAAGCTCCCCGCAGTCAACATTCTAGGATCCCATGGTTTCAGGAGATGGCTGTCATTGTCCTACTTGTGATTAAGCACTCGGAGGGGGTATGATAAAATGGGCTATATGTGGAAACAGAAGACTCAAGGGCCTCAGGGACAGGAAATCATAGCAGCATTGAGTTCCATGCTCAATATCATCCAAAGGAGAGAGGAAGAGGGTTGGCATTGCTAGAGATGAGGAGGAGCTGAGGATGGGCACTCACCCCAGGGGATCAGACAGTCTCTGGCCTTCTTGTTCTCCCTCACATAGGAAGCAATGTTTCCAGGGTTCAAATTCCAACCCATTGACATAAACTCCACCCTAGGAGGAGGAAACTGAGGTGAGTCAAACCAGCTAGGGTTCCAGTAGCAATGGCTGGACACTTGGCAAGATGTGGGAAGAGCCAGGGAACCCTCAGGAAGTGCAGTGCACTGTCTGGGAGCCACTTGCCAGCAAAACAGAGCTGGGGTGTTGCTGAGCCCTATTTCTACCTTTACCCCAGGACAGAGCAAAGTATTCCCAGGGACAGGCGCCTCTGTACTTTTGAACCAGTCAATTGGCAGCTCCTGAGAAAAGCATTCTAGTATCCCCCACAGTACAGGAAACACATCCAGTAAGCCCAGGCCCTGTCCTCAGGGCCCACAAATGTAGAGGAGAAAAGACAAGTCTGTACAAAGCTCACATTGAAAGACAACCTGAGCTGTACAGGCAGGGAGGTGTAACAGGCTGGGGAGATGGGGAGATGGCCAGGGTAGAGAGGTTTCTCTGAGAGGAGAAGGGAGGCAAAGGCCTCAAAAAAGATAACAGGTGATCTCGATCCAGTGTCAAAGCACTAGGCTAAACTCAAGAGGGCATTTCAAAAAGCATCAGTCACATGATAAACACCTGCTGGTTTTAGTTTGTTAAAGAATCCATTTAATCCTGTTATGAATCAATACACAGCTGAGCTACAGATCCCCTTTAATAGAGGAGTACACTGAGGTCATGAGTGGATGGAACCCAGCCTGAATCCCGATTTAGGCAGTCTTGCACCAGAGCTCATTCCCTATTAGAAAGTGCCAGGAAACAGTCCACAGAGTTTAGTACAGGTGGTTGAGTTGTGATGTGGGAATCCTCCCAGCCCCAAACCTTGGTACCCCAGCAACACAGTGCTTAAGCTGCTGGGGAATCAGATGCCCATAAGAAACTCATGAAGACTAATGCTTCAAATTACCCACACCTACACTTCCCCAGTAAGACAGGAAACCAGAGACATCAAGGGGCAGTCTGGGTTTGGCCCTTGCCCGGATCTCGGTGGTCTTTGGCTATCTAACAACTAAGACATAGGTCAGGCTAAACAAGTGAAGGTCATCTAGGATCTGGCCTGAGACCAGTGATGCTTCCTATCAATAAACATTCTATAGAGGATCTAAAAGGCAAACAGAAGCATGCAATAACTAAGGCTTGTCCCCTTCAAGGCTGCCACAGCCTCCCTCACCCTGCCTGAATAGCCCCAGCATCTCTGCCCAAATCTGCAGACACTGCCATTTGTTGCAAGCAAAGACAGAGCCATGATATGGGTAAAGGTGACAGTGGGAAATCACCAAGATCTGAACATGTCCCTCAGAAGCTGGCAGATATTTCTACCTGTGTACCAAGGTAGGAATAAGGGGACAAACACCCTAGGAAAGCAAAAAGTAATATATGGAAAACTATCCCTGGCATAAGGGAACTGAAACTGCAAATTATCTCAGAGTCCAAGTGCTATATTTTTCCAACCTGCTGTCCACTTTCTAGCCTGACAGATTTCCAAGACAGAATGCTTACAGGCCACTTTACTTTATCTGCAAGTGCTAGATGGGAGCTTTTGCTGAGCAGACAGAATTAGGGGCCATTCCTAGGCCGCATCTAGAGGGATCCACACCTTTAGCTGCCTAAAGGAACCAGGGAATGGTCCTCAAATCATGGCCTCAAAGAACTGAGCAGAGGGAAATTAGTTTGATTGTCACCATTGGTTAAGGAGCTCTGGCAGAAATAAATTCTTACCCACAGGCCTAGCCAATGTCATAAAACCCATTTCTGATACCACCTGCAACAAAAGCATTTCATAGCCATCCTTGACCAAGGTCTGTCTTAGGAGCAGCAGAGCCCCTGTCCCACCTGCTTTCTAGGTGCCACTCAGCCCCAGAAACAGGACACAGGAGTGTCCTGAAGAGCTTGGAGCAGTGGCGAGGGAAGCTCCTGAATTTTTTCTGTGCTCAGAGTCCTCTCAGAAATGCTTACTGATGGTCCAGGAGATAGCAATATCACTGTCCCTAGTGGTCAGGGGCAGAAAGCCCAGGCCTGGTCAAGGGCACCACCCAGTCCCAACTTATCAGCTATGTTGGCCACTGCCTACAGCCCTGATGAGCACTATCTGTTGATGGTGGACAGAGGCACAGTCTCTGGGATGCCACTGAAACACAAAATGAAAGGCACAGTCAAACCCCTGTACTGCCAGGCTCTCATGGAAAGCAAGTCTGTGCTCCTGGGCCATGTGACTGCTCCCATCAAAGGTCACAAAAATCTGGGGAACAATCTAGTAGCCCTGCACCCATATCAGGTCAGATCCATATGCTGTCTCTACAGGTGCATGCTCCTCAGGACCAACACAAGCATATGACCTTCCATCCTATGTTTCTCCTCAATCCAATCCAAGGCAGAGAAGTCCATTTGGGCCATGAGGATCTTTTTCTCCCTCTGAAGATTCAACAGTGACAACTACCTATCTCTGTTTCCCCCAGAGAACAGAGCAGTGGACTTGTTCTTGGGACAGGCCACCAGAGCAAAAGCCATATCTCAAATATGAGGCCAGCGTCCATCCCTACCCTTCCTAGTAACCACATAGTTTTTCATATTCTATTCACTCTCCAGAAAGAGACGATCAGGGCTTCTCTTGGGTTCCCCTGACCCAGAGTCCTCCCCATCTCCCAGACTCTGCTGATGAGATAGATCTGGAGTTCCCAGCTTGCTCAACTAGCAAAAGAAGCAATGTCACCATTCAGGGTGTTCATGTGGTCATTTACCTGTCAAAGGAAGATAGAGTCTAATTTAAAGCAAAAGTCAATTTTGGCTATAATTAGTCCACAGAGAACCTTTGCTCCACTCCCAGAAGTGAAGTGTCTTGGCTCTCAGCAAAGAAACACCCCCCTCCCCAATGTAGGGGAAATGTTGGGTCCAAAGACTAGGATTAGGATCCCAAGCACTCTGGTTGCCCTGACATCTTTTGACATCTGGTGTCCAACCTCATCTCCACTTGCCACAGGCCAAGTCCCCTCGAGCCAGGACCCACTCAAGAATTACAATGACCAACACAGAGCTAGAAGTAGAAAAGATTACCTCAGAAACTGGGCAATCTGGGCCATGATGGCTCCACTTCCAGGCTGAAGCACATTTCCTATTCAGGGGAAAATGCCTTTATCTAGAGTCAACAGTTGTATTAAAGAGAGGACATTTCAGATCGTTCTTCAGAATTGTTAGCCCTTGGCAGGCTCCTCTGAGGCTCTGGAATTTCAGGGTCTGCAGCAGGGGGAGCCAGACACACAACAGCCTGTTCAGATCATATATGGACCCCTGTGCCGGAAGGTCCCAAGCTCACTTGCCCATGCACCCTACTCTTCAAAATCAGCACAGGCTGGGCAGGTGACTTGCCCTTCCACATAACATGGAAGACATGAGGGAAAGAGCAATGCAAACCTTGAAGTCCAATAGCGTTGGCCCTTAGGCAAAGGAAATGAGATTCTGAAAATGTACACTTCCCTGAGTATCCTCTCTCCAGGCCCTGCTGTCACTACAGAAGAAAAATAGTTCCATCCTAAGTGAGGCACACAGTGTCCTGTATTGTCTTTTATTACATTTCAAGGGAAGAGGTGGAGTGGGAAACTGGATTGGAGCACAGGTTGAGGCCCCATGTTCAATTTCTAACTCTGTTGCAAATGCACAGCCCCCACTCTCTCCATTTGTAAATCAGTGCTGAACTTGATGTTTTTGACGTTCCCTCATCTCTGTCCTGGAATAGACAGGATCTAGGGTGCATAGAGAACCCTGGTCTCAAGCCTCCTGGTACCCTCAGGTGCTAGAATTTCTGCACTTGGGATACCTACTTTCCTCATTAAGTAGAGTACTCATTAAGTAGAATGAATGCACGTGGAGGAGGTTTAAAGTGTTTAGGGTTGAAATAGTTGTAGACTGGCTCTCAGGAGATCATATTGAAGTTAATGGACTCCATAGTTCCCTTCAGTGACAACTAGGGGACTAGAGGCATGGAAGCAGGACTTTAGAGGGATGAGAAGACCCGGAGGCCCCTGCGCAGGGCCTGGGTGGTGCACTCCCCTAAATCAGGGGATGTCCCCAACTGCTCAGGCCTCAGCTTTACGTCCTGGAGAACTGCGGTCAAGACGGCAGACAGAAGCTCATCTTGGGTGGTGTCCTGCAGAGGCAGGTAAAGCTGCGGTGAGCTTGGCTTGTGATACCTCACGCAGAAAAAGCGACTGCAGCTCACCTGCCGACTGCTTCCGGCCCCCGCCCCCAGGAAAATATGACGGAACCCGAGACCCAGCGTCTCACCCCAGGGGCCAACCCCCGGGGGCCTCACCTTGAAGACGCGGCGGCTCGCTTTGCCAAGGGCCGTGCGCCGTCCGTGCACCACCACCACGTCCTCGGCCGAGGCTTGCCTGAAGTTACCAAAGCGGCCTGTAGCGCGGGACCCGACTCGGGCCGGTCGGTGAGGTGGTCCTGAACTACCTGCAGCCTCAAATTCACGCCGCTGAGACCCGCAGAGCAGTTTGAAATCGGCGCGCAGTTGGAATCAAACCCTCTGCACCTCGGAGCGCAAGTTCCACTCAGTCTTGGAAGCCCCAACACCGCCCACAGCCCGCCCTCCAAAGGTTCCGCCCACCCAATCTCAGCCAACCAGAAGGAGCGTAACTTGAGGACACGCCCACCCCAGCCACTCTTACCTCAGACCCCAAACGTACCGCGCGGGGCCGTTCTTACCTCTCACAAAGTCCGGGCCTCCGTGGGCTACCCAGACCAATCAAGAAGCGGTTCTTTCTGGAGTCCCGCCCACAAAGGCAGATGGGAAATCATTCTACCTTTCCAAGTTTTGGAGACAAAATCCAGGCTGGTTCCCAAAGTCTTGCACATAAACTGGGCCTCAACCAGAAGCCCCTTCCTTCAAAATCCTACACCCTGCCTGCTGCCAGACAGAAGGCTGGACCACCTGGAGTCCCTTCCTTGGCCTTTCTTTGGAAGGAGGAGTTCGGGACTCTTAATTCCTGTTCCCCATCCTAGTCTGTTCTGTTCTGTCGCGTGTCCTGGCACCCAATCTGGAGACTCTACATACTCTTCATATTTCCAGCTCACCTCCGAAGAAGTCAATTTCTTCCGGCAAGTCTTTTTAGAAGAACCAAGCAATTTGATTCCCAGTTATCACGGAGAGTGAATTTACAAAGCTGTGGAAGTTTAGCAAGCTCTTTAACTGGACAGAGAACATGCCACACTTCTTAGAACAATGTCACACCTGTTTGTGATGATTCAATTGGTTATCACCTTCCCCGTTAGGAAGCAGAGAAGAAGCTGTGTCCTGGGATCCTGAAATGTGTTTGACGTTTAGTACGTCATCAATATATATCTGAGGAATGAGAGAATTATCCAGGGCTCCTCCGCCTGGACTGTGTCTTCAACTCTAAAGAACAAGGCCAGGTGCTGTCTGACTGCCAATGGCAGGGCCATATGTTTACCCAGACCTTCGAATATTGTACTGCATTTGCCCTAGACACCAAGGGACAGGGTGCCCTGTTCATCCCCACTCTGGAGTGTAGGGTTGTGACCCTCCCTGTTTCAACTGCAGATCCATCACATGCCTTAGATTCCTGAAGGCAGTATGCCTTTCCCATTGTCACGTGCCCATACTGCCAGTCCCTGCTGATGCTGCTACTGGCAGGATTGTGTGCTCCCCAGACACTTGGAAGGGCACACCAGATGTCTCCCCTCGTGTCCTCTTCCCAACATCCTCCAGGGCAGGACCTTTGGGCAATCTAGATCTACAACAAATGGGACAGGACACTGTCACATCCCAAAGAGCAAAGCCAGTTTCCTACAAACCCTGAAAAAAAAGTTGTTCTCCCTTACCTCCTACCCAAACGACCACCACAACCAGACCCTCAAGGACTGACCTATCCATATCTAAAAGGAGGCTTCTGAGTTCTCATATCTGCTGTTCTGAGACCCCCCAAGTCAAGAGAGTGTGCCCTACCTCATTACATCTGGACAGGATTTAGACAGAATCCAGACAGGACTCTAGATTCTAAGGTGGAGCCATGCTTCTCAGAAAGAGAAAGCAGGTAGTCCAGGCAAAGGCAACAGGACAAGCAGGATGCCTGGCTGGGAAGGGCCAGGTGTAAAAGTGTAGGTGTAAAAGTGATAGACAAGCTTAGCAAAAGTCTCAGGTGGGCCAGGTGTCAGACACAGGCTGCTCTTGAGCTTTTGAGCTGCGTCAGGTAGATCAACAGGATAAGTGAGGGAGTGGAAGCTGATGGTCTAGGAAACTTCTGGCACTCATGTAATGTACTAGCACAGGAGGTCCAGCTGGCCACAGACAGGCACACATTGCTGGGTTGGAGTCACTGCCATCACTGCACCATCACTGGATCTTCATTCCATTCCCAGGAGCCTTAGAATGGGAGTCTAGGACAAGGAACAGAAGGACACAAGCCTTATCTTCTGCCTTATCCAGATGGCCAGACCCCTACTGACATCCTTTGGGGCTGGTCAGAACGTGTGTGTGTGTGTGTGTGTGTGTGTGTGTGTGTGTGTGTGTGAGAGCATGCTCAATGTTTTAGTCAGCTTTTTACTGCTGTGACCCAAAGATTTCACAAGAACAATTTTAGAGGAGGAAAAGTTTATTTGATGCTCACAATTTCAAAGGTCTCAGTACATAAACAGCTGGCTCCATTCTTCAGGTCCCAAGGTAAGGCAGGACATCATGGAGGAAGAGTGTGGTGGAGGAGTGTGGCTCAGCACTTGGCCACCAGGAAGCAGGGAGAGAGCTCTACTCACCCAGAGCAAAACATACACCCCAAAGGCATGCCCCTCAGTGACCCAACTCCTCCAGTCATCTCCTACCTGCCTACTGTTGCCACCCAATTAATCTACATTAAGGGATTAACTCACTTTTGGGTAAAGCTCTCATCACCCAATCATTTCACCTCTAACCCTCTTGGATTGTCTCACACATGAGCTCTGGGGAGACACCTCACATCTAAACCATAACATCCAGCTTTTCAGATCTGTGTAGCTGCCCATGGCACCAGCAGCTGGAGAAAGCCCAGAGCCCAAGAGGGTCAAATAGATCAGGGTTTGATCCTAACTGTGGGATGGGCAACCTGACACACCCTATCTTTTCCCCACAGAATAGAATAGCCAGAAGTACATTTTGAAGCCTCAGCAGGAGTCTGGAAGCCATTACAGGTGGCCAGAGTAGACAACACTGTCCCATAGACAGTGGAGCTATCAGACATTATCACACTTGGTGACCCCCATGCATAAGGGCCAAATACTGTTCCCATGCCATTGGCAGACTTGTGGACCATAGCCACAGGAAAGTGTTGTGTGAAGAGTATGCATGTTGAAGATAAATGGGCTGTGGGTCCCTGGGCAAGCCCTTTGACCTTTCTGAACCTTGGTGTCCCAACCACAAAATAGGGCTACTACAAGTCCTATCATTATGTTGCTCAGAGACTCTCATGAAATGTGTGTGGGTGAAGGCTAACCCAGGGTTAGGCCCTCAGGGGCCTCATCTTTTGTCTCCTGAGAAGGTCACTTAGTCTGAGTTGTGTCATCTAGAGATGGGTGTAGAGCCCAGGATCAAGGTTGCCTGAGCAATAAATTCCTGGCTTCTTCAGAATTTCTGTAGTGCTGTGAAGCACTGTCACCTGTGCTCTGACTGTCACCTGTGCTATGCTCCAAGGGAAAGTGCAGAGAATTATTTTTTTGTAGATTCTTTTTTTAGGGAAGGGATTGAATTCATTTTTTTCCCACCCATTTTTTATTGGTCCGTTATAGTTGTACAACAATGGGATTTGTTGTTACATATTCATGCATGCACATAATACAACAATATAATTTGGCCAATATCATTGCCCTGTACTTCTCCCTGCCCTCCCCACCACCTACATCTTGGCCTCTTTCCTCTACTGATCTCCCCTTGATTTTCATGCGATCCGCCCCCACCTTTGTTTTCCTTTCCTCTTTGGCTTCCACATGGTAGAGGAAATGTAAGACCCTTCTCCTCTGGAGTTCGACTAATTTTTCTTAACATGATGGTCTCTAGTTCCATCCATTTTTCTGCAAATGACATAATTTTATTTTTCTTTATGGCTGAATAAAACTCCATTGTGATATATACCACATTTTCTTTATCCATTCATCCATTGATGGATCCTGAGGTTGGTTCCATAGTTTAGCTATTCTGGATTGTCCTGCTATGAACAGGACAGGTATGTGTGTATCACTACAGAGTGATAACTTTAATTTTTGAGGTACAGCTTGTTCATATGTTGGTTCCATGCCTAACGTTTTGAGGAACCTACAGACACTCATCAGGTTGCTCAGTTCATATACCAGCCCCAATGCTGGAAGGTCTCAAGCTCACTTGCCCAGTCACCCTTCCCTTCTTCCAAATCAGCACAGACTGGGCAGTTGTCCTGCTTTCCAGGTAACATGGAAGACAGGAGGGAAAGAGGAACATAATGCAAAAGCTTGAAGGCCAACAGCAGTGGTACTTGGACAATGGAAATGAGATAATGAATGTGCACACATCCCCTCAGGTCCTCCTCCAGGACCTGCTGTCACTGCAGATAGGAGGAACAATGAGTCCCACCCTAAGCGAGGCACACTCTGGATGAAGATACTCTGGACGTCTTGTAAGATTTTGTTACATTTCAAGGCTAGAAGTGTAGGGTGGGAGGCAGGGTTGGAATTAAGGGTGAGGTGCTGGGTCGAGACCTAGCTCTATAGCAAATTCAGGAGCCTTATTCTCAGTCTGTAAATGGTGGGCTGGACCAGGTGTTTTTTGATATTCTGGCCTGACATAGACATAGACAGGAAAACAAGGGGCACAGACAACTGTGGTCTCCTGTCTCCTGGAGTTTCCTGAGGCCTCTGAGGCTTGGAGTGTCTGCCAGCAGGCATTTCTGCTTTCCATCTGTCTTCAAATGCAGAATGTGCCTGGAGGGGGCACAAAGCCTCTGGGGACAGGGGCTCACTGACTCTCAGGAGGCAATTATGGTGAACTCAGCAGAGTTCACTGTTATTTCCGTCAGTGACAACTTGGGGTCTGAAGGCATGGAAAAAGGACACCAGAGGGATAAGAAGACAGGGAGTTCCCAGAACAGAGCCTGGGGGGTGCACTCACCCACAGAGATGTCTCCCAGCTGCTCAAGCCTCAGCTTCCTGTCCTATAGACCCATACATAGTCAAGACAGCAAACAGAAGCTCATACAGGTCATCTGCTTGGATGCTTCCTATACCAGAGGTGGCTGTGTATCTAAGCCGTGGTCCCTTGATCTCCTGAACTACAGGACACCACTGTGGATAAGCTTGGGATCCTTCAGTATGCAGAATGGTATATGACCTGGATGGGATGTTGTGTATCTGGCTGTACCTCTCTAGGCCTTGAAATTTCAGAATATTAGTGAACTTTCCAAGGACATATGATGAAGAAAGATCTAGAATGTCTTCTCTTTGGTACTCACAGCTGAAACTTAGTTCCCAGGATACTACCTGGAACTGAATAATAACTTTTGTCAATCAGAAATGAGATCCAGCCTGGAGCTGGGGCCATTGTGGCCTGGATTACCCAGTTTCGGAGATAACCTTTTCTACTTCTACCTCTGGGTAAGCAGTTGTGAATCTTGAGTGAGTCATGGCCCCTGAAAATTCAGCCCATTGGAAGCAAGGATCCAGATGGACATCAGATGTCAAAAGATGTCAGGGCAACCAGAGTGCTTGAGATGCTGCTCTCTGGACCCAACCTTTCCCCTACTTTGGCAGTGGGAAATGGTGAGTTAGCCAGACCAGAGCCAAGACATACAGGTCTGTGGGACTGGGGCAAAGGTTTTCTGTGGCCTGATTTTTATTCAAAAACAACCTGTTGCTTACTTTTGGAAGTGTGGACTCTACTCCTCTGTCAGGTAAATGACCCATGAAAACCTTGAACTGTGACTTAGCTTCCTTTGCTAGTTGAGCAAGCTGGAAAACTCCAGGCCCATCCCATTAGCAGAGGCCTGAAGATGGGGAGGACTCTGGGGCAGGGGGATCCTTGGTGGAGCTCTGATCATCTGGCCCTTCACTACTTGCTCTCCCAGATGGGGCTGGAGTGTTCCGTTGTTTCTACATGTAGCCTCAGACCCAATTGTCTTTGTCCTTTGAGCTGCATTGAGTTGAAATAATAGGGACATTAGCCAGTGAGAGAGCAGCAAAGGAAACCCAACCTCTAGGAACTGGCAGAAGCTCAGACTGCTGAACCTGCAGTTCAGGGTCTCCCACTCCCTGTCTCCAGAACAACTCTTCAGCCTCACCTCCCAGCTGCTCACTCATGTGACTTTTTCTCCTTTCAGTTAAACTATCTGCCTCCTTCTGTCCTCCCTACTGTGCCAAT